TTTTGGACTTAAAGAAAATGAACCCCACACACATCTGTAACATGTACAAAGTTATCTCTGGCAGTCCCATTTGTTTGTCTCAGAGCAACATTAATCGAATTTTCCAGACAATCTAACATAGATACCTCCAATTTCATTAGCTTGTTGGCCAATTTGGTTTTGGCAAGTCACCATATTGTCTGGTTTGACTGGACTAATGATCTGACAAAGGTTGGAGGAGTTGCTCGGTCACCAGACAAGGTTATTTTATCGTGCCTGAGAACTTTATTTTAGGCCAGAGTATTTGAAGTTTGCTTGATAAGTAAGTGAGCCATTGCCATTTTAAAGGGAAGTAAGTTGATCAAACCGGATACGTAAAACATAATCATTGCCACATTTAGGAAATACGACAAAGTAGAATAGGATAAATAAGATTACAACAAGATAAGTAAACATATAGTCGATACTGTTAATACATTTGGTCGTAATGCCGCTGTAGACTTGCCTTAGTTCAGTTCCCCACCCCGATTCCACAGTTTAATTATGGAATACTTATACCATTATAAGGTATACGTTGGCAAAAAGGGTGTCGCAGAAAAGAGATCTGCGGCGCCGGTGTATCTCGACATAGGCACTAAAAAATCTGTCCCTATTGCCACTGCACATAAAATCTAGATCTCTTCTGAAACAAGGGCCTGGCAGTGGTATAGCGCATCGACAGTTGTCCTCCCATTAAGTCAGCCTCCACCCTATTTGTACCCTCAGTATCGGGAGGCAGGAGCCGACACTGGGTTCCAGCGGCGTAGGTAACATTTAATAAACAGAAATAGTCCACCTAAAGGATCCGATGATATAACATTCGCACTTTTCGTATGACTGTTTGTTATTTCTCTGTATTCAGCTGATCTCACGTTATGTACACGATCTATAAAACTGTACATTAGGAAACAGCGCTGTAAAACATCGATTATCATTAGCACAATTTACAATCAAAGCAAGATCTAAGATTTTTGCAAGACATAAACAATGTCTTCTGTCGTATAGTATATATAGCCTGTAAGAATTAATTAAACAACTTTATTTTTAAGTCTGGCAATAAATTGACAGTGAAAGTTTTTAATTAGGCGAGGTTTGGAGTAAGTGGCAAGTAGCGTCTAGTACTAGATGTATAAGAGATCAATAACTTGTCACCAATGTCATTCCAATTGGCAATCAGATTGGGTAGGCGTATTTAAATATAGCTAGATTGTCTGAAAGTTTTTTAATGATCCAAGATCTCATTCATAATCTATTAAAGTGACTTCAGTGTACCATCTTAACCCATTTTTCTGGAAACACCTGGTCCTTGACGTTTGTCTTGAGACGAATTTCTGAATTTGTACCGTTTTAGAAAATAAAATCTTGTTCCCGAGAAAATTCATCCCAACATGAAACAAAAGGAAAACTGTCTAACTAAATAATATTTAGATGACTGTATCCCTTTAGCGCTTCGCAATCAGAAATTGTTGATCAGATCAATAAATGTATCTTTATCATTTTAGTTCTTGTTCCCTAAAATATAAAGCGTTATAAAGTGACATTTATGTTCTTTTAAAATTGTAGCAATGGAAACTATATATCATTAACGTATTAACCTATTGAGCTAATAAAGTACATATTGTTTCCTAAAATAGTGCCATGAACCATTGAGCTATTGGTTGCCTGGGTATCTATACACTTTTCTATTCAGATGCAGAACGTGTTCCCTAAAATAGTCTCAAATTCTAAGCCATTATAAACAGTGGCTGCTCGAGTATTAATGAACTTGCTAATTCAACAAAAGTACGTCTACTTCCGATAAATCATTGTCATGAATTGACTCTTTCAGTAAAGGTAGATGCATGCTACGTCGCTTTCAGATAAAGATAGTCTACGTGGCCCATAAACTAGTCGCTTTAATAGATAGTGTGAAATAAATCATAGTAAATTTAAACTAATTCCATTTACACTTTCTATTTAATTAGAGTTTAATGATGAAAGCGTTAAACTGTTTAATTAGACGTGTTTAAAGAAAGTTTATGTTGTCTCGAGGGAAGGAGTAATTGTTCGTATGTGATTGTGTTACGGTAGGTTATGTGAAAACAATGAAAAATCCAATACTTCTTTCAGGAAAAAAACTCACCGAAGAAATATTCTTTAGAAAACAGTATTAGACGTGTTTCATCCATTTACTTAAGTATACTTGTCTCTCTTAAGGTGCGGGCACACGAGAGGTCTTGGTCGGAGGCTTTTGTCGCCGATTAGAGTCTCGTCTTGAGTTCCAACGACTGGCACGGGCACACGATGAGACAAAAATCTCCAATCGGTCGTTTTCCACCTTGTCTATAATCACGTGCGGAGTATGCAATTGAAAGGAAAATGGATCTGATTGGATGATGACGGTCTGTCTTGCATACGATAAAACTATCAGAAACAATTATCAAACTTGTTCAACATTATAAATCCAGTCGGGGACGCGATAATCTTGTGGAAGCATGGGCACAGGCGAGAATTTTCTCAAGACTGTAATCGGCGACAAAAATCTCCGACAAAGACCGCTCGTGTGCCCACACCTTAAACCCAATTTGCAATGGATTCAAGTCTATCAAAAAAGACTTTTACAGTAACTATTGCACTATTGAGTTTGGCTCAGGGAACGATAGATTAAAGAATAGTAAATCTGCTTGGGCAAAAACCAGAGACCCAACGTTTTTCGGAATTCGATAATTTCTTTAATCGTCAAATGAGATTCCGTTAATAAGCTGTATAAAGAGGTAAAATAATTAGACAAAATATTCAATTTGAACGATATTAACTAATGAAGTTCATAGTCTTCTAGATTGCCGATCTCAATGTAGATCATTTCGGGAGCTGACAGTAATGATGTGTACTCTTACTCGGATTGTTCGATAACCTGTTAAATATTCATAAACTAGAAAGAGCTATTAGCTTCTGAAATGAAACAAAATATAGAAATTTAGAAAACCATTAATATACTCTCGGCAACCTAGCGTTATCATTCTCTAATAGTATCTGAAAAATTGAATGATGAACGGAGAAAGTTATAAACCTACAAAGACTGATTTTTTTGTTCAGATAACAGTTTTACAATTTGAATTAGCATGTCTTCATTTATTGTAGTAGCCTAATATGTAAGATTTATACATTTATCATTAATTTGATTTCGTTTACCTACATATTTTATCTAATTTCACCCACGCATCCATCGCTCAATGCAAAAATGAGGGAAACAAGCTAAGCTATTACGAACTCCACCTTATACCTTGACTACAAAGGTCAGTATTCTTGAACCACGGAATTAGGCGATTTGATTGGATGATACGCCAACAACGAAAACTGAAAAATCAGAGCTCTCGACAGAAGGACGGTAAACATGATGTCTTGTTTACAGACTTTCTGTCGGGACTCGACACTGATTAGCTGTATTCGCTAGCTTATAATTCAATCACAATCACCACATTTACAAACTTTCATGATAGACGAAAGGTGGCTATTGCAGTCAAGGTGTAAGAGCTTGACAATGACATTGACAAAAATGATATGAAATGAATGGAGTTAAATTACGACCTACTTTTCTGCAACATGTGGACTAATGATGCCATACAGGGTGCCATGGGAGAAATTTTGCCAAGATAGCGGCATTATCCTGTTCTTCGTCGATTTCCAGCTGTCAATGCATCTTTAACGTGCAGCCTGCAGCACACGGGGCCTCGGTTTATTGTCTCATCCGACTAGACACTTTTTCCATATCAGCCCCAATGACATTGACAAGATTAGGACTATCAAGACATAAAAACAATGTAGTTTCTCTAGCAGGAGCATGTGTTGACATTGTTGTAGCATCTATTGGCTGACTCCCTGTCAAGGGATGCATTCTAACCATGCCTATAATGATTATTTTATATTTGTGTGGTTATGAATTAATGAATGAAAATGATCACCTTTGATAAAACTAAATGACCTAGAACAAAGATCGAAAGTATCTTCGTCAACTATACAAATCAAACAACTAAAGGGCAATAGTGTACAAATATTGTGTTTATTTTTTGTTGGTTTAATATTAAAATAATAAGCTTAATGTAGCTGTAATAATCGAGATGAAAAGCTTTGTCAATATGCTAGTAGCACGTTAATTAGGACTAAAACAATACAATTTGTTGAAAGATTGATAGTTAATATTTGCTTTGTCTCCAGGAAGAGAATGATGACATCAAATGCTTGTAATGCGAATTCCATGGTTGGTCGACTGTTTGGCCATTATCTACTTGTGTCAAATATAATGTCAACTACTGATGCCCAATGCATAACATCCCTTCTTGAGGCAGTCGAATGTAACAATGTGCATTGTATGACCGTGGTAAACAGGTGTTTCATAAAGAAAACTTACGGGCCATTTAATGGGATCGAGGGATCGGAGTAACTCAATTTGGCACTTGGTACCTAGGGCTCGGGGTCAATTACGGCTTGGTCAAAATTTTGGATTTTCAGTTCAGAGGAGCTAACATGGATGGGACGACATACTGAGGTTATTGCACTACAGGTTGCAAACGATAATCTCCTCCACCTAAAAAGGCGAATTGAAAGAGAGAGCTAGCAAATCAACAAATGCTTAAAAATAATCACTCATGCAGGGAATGTTAGAATATAGAATTACCAATATGCACAAATGTAATCCAGATCTTTTGAAAAATATCCAGCATCACGAAAATCAAATTTATTTGCCATCATCAGATTAAAGAAAATTGTTGAAACGTTATTTATCATTTACAGTATGACAATATGGATGATATATCTTTTTGGCAGCTATTTTAGTTTTAGATATTTTAGGATCTTAATTATAATAAATTGATAATGCAGTCTTTGGTTCTTGTTCGTCTGTTTACGGTGAAAATAGCATGGTGTCTGGTGCTCGATTGGGTGTACAGTTGGGGATAGGGCCAAGATACGGTAGATAATTCATTAAGAGTGCGGGTCCGCACAATATGTGTGCCCGAATGACTATTCCGCATTGTACGCTGAGAAGGTAGTCCCACTTGCCAACCCATCCACGCTGGTTGTCTCGTCCATCTTTGTCCACTGTGACATGAAATATGATTCATTTCGAAGTCGGAAGCGTTATGTAAACCAAGTCGTACATTTTGTTTACACATGTATTAGCTTGAAGCTATGAGAAGGATTGTTTGGACCAGTCTCGACGAAGACCACACACTAGCTTTAAGAGACAAATTACATGGAAATATAAATATATAAATCAAACATTTAGATACTGTAGCTTAAAGGGGTCCACGTGTCTTGCATGATAATGTTGTGTACATTGGACAAAGGAATATTGTACGAGAATGGTTGTCAACATAGAATATCAGCTTAACCCACATGAAAATAATCCAAAACACACACACCTACACCAACACGCACCTGCCTTCCCGTAGTTTCAAGTAAATGGATATTGCGGACCCATTATTCTTGATGCTAGCTTATTTTCAAAACATACTTTTGAATATCTTACCAAGTTACGTCACGGATGAAGTCTATTTGTCAATATGTGTAGCCGGAAGTGAGCTTTTGTTAATTTGGCGAACTACAATGCTTGCTAATATGGCAGTCGTCCAGTCCAAACACCAAAGGCATAATATATAAGCACTTTTAAAATACAATCAATTAATGAATTAACCGTTTCATGTAGGAATGATCTATGTACTTTTACCAATTTGTGCCACACGTAAAATAACATTGTTCTCGAATATCTGCATACTGTGTTAGCTATAGTTGATTGAATTCTCTGGAGAATATATCTATTTGATATATGTTTAAATTAAGAACTGCCTCTTCAAAAGCTTTAGAAATTTTTTAAAAAGTTTGACGTCAAAAATATTATGAAATTTACCCTACTTAGCATCCCCGCATTATTTTCCTCTTGGCGTTTTTATTCTGAGTTACATGTAGGATGTTGTGTATACTTATAAGATGTATAAGATGATAGATTAAAGGGATTCAAAACGGTATCCAGACTATGTATATGATGTCATTACCTCAAAATTTATTCAAAACAAGTTGTTAAAATCTTTGTGAGTACGAGGCAGTCAGAATCAATATATTGTGATTGGGAGCTCAGTGCAACAACTTTCTGTAGGTGCCTTTTTGTCCATCAAAATAACTACCATGAAAATGTCTTTGTAGTGGAGCAGATGAACCCACAGATGGAACTGAAGCTCTTACTTTTTTTTCTATTTCAGACCACATTCTAGGTTTAATTTTGGTTTATTTCCTAAAAGAGGATGTTCTGGTTTCCCCTGTATGTACACACATTTAGGAGCTAAAGCAGGTCGACAAGAATTAATGAGGACGTTAATGAGTTTAATAGATGATTGTGCCGGTGATATAGCCTGTTCTCCAGGTAAGTCAATGTTCCTTTGCATTAGATTTCTGGTCGATGTGTAACTACTTCTCGGACAGTTACATTCGAATTTATAGTTCATTTGATACTTGTCAAATTTCCATGAAGCAAAAAAGGAATTCATTACTTTATCTTCTTGGATTTGTAGCGATGAAACCTTTTGGAACCGAGAGCAGAATAGACTGTTTGATTTGTCTTTACATGTTATTGGTTAATTGCTAGGGGTCGGGGTGACAGAAATGGAATGGAGTATAACATCTCTTATTGGACGAATGAAAACAGACAGCACCAAACAGTGTGTTATAAAGAAATCATGCCAATACTTTTTAACGATTTTAACTCTCGATGGATCTTTTCAGTCTGTAGCACACAGGGTCTCATATATTGTCCAATCCAAGCAAAACAAATGGGTTGTGCTTGTCATTCCCTCATGGACAGGTAGAATATCTACGTTTGCGTAAAACGATTCACATCAGTGGATACCGATAGCAACATTTTTTCCCTTTCATATATCCCAAGCCAATTTAACTTTCCTAAAAGTTAAAAAAAAACATTGGATCAGGTCTTGTGCCACGTCCAGAGCTGTTCACAGTTCTAGTATTAAATTGCTAACTAAGAACGAAAAAAAAACCCTGTGTCATTAATAATTATCAAACCGGAGCTTAATTTACTTACATGTCCGTGGTTTGTTTTTAAGGGATATACAATAATTTACGGTTGCATGTCTCTTTGATCTTTAGACTCTTTTAATGTAATCAATTACTGATGATAATACATTAATATTGAACAGGTCTCTATACCTTCTTGCATTTTAGATTCTCTTTCATGGTCAAATTAAACACACAAACCCCGTACAAAAAATCAATAATCGAAGAGGGACAGCAACATGGGAAAAAGCAATCGTTATAGTGTAGCATGGGCTCATTGTAGAGACATTAAAATTTAAGGTTTGTGTTCCGATGGGCGTAGTTTACCTTGAAGTTTCTTTCTTAACTAAAACCATTTTTTACTCTCAGTCTTTTTCTTTAGCATGACTTTTGTGCTTTTTCATTTTGACATGACTTCCGTTGATTTATCTTGATATCTTGGTTGTCGCAATTTGTCACAATATTGTAGGTCACGATGACCCTTCAATTGCTAACGGTTTTTAATGATTTTTCTATGGCAGGTCATGCTATTTGTGTTATTCCAATTTGTGTTTGAGTTGGTCATAATATGATCATTCATTTTGACACAGAGTTTGACGTAGCCCACATGTTGCAGAAAAGTCTAAGGAGGTAAAACTCCATTTAATTTCATTTTCAGTTTGACATAATTCTCTTTGATTGGTCACATTTTTGTTCGTCAAATTTGTCTTTTATTAGGTTAACATTATTGTGTCACGGTCAATTGGATACATTTATCTTTCAGTTTCTTTTATATCCTACAGTTTGACAAAACTTTTATCCTCAAGTTTGACATAACATATATCCTTCAGATTCACATATTTGTTTTTCGATTTGACACAACGTATATCTTCAAGTTTGACATTACAATTATCCTTCAGTTTGACATATTTGTATTTCGGTTTGACACAACTTATATTCTCAAGTTTGACATAACATATATCCTTCAGTTTGATATATTAATTTGTCCGCTTGACACAACCTGTGTCTCACAAGTTTCAGACATGATTATGTTCTTCAGTTTGATACGACACAATTTCTGATTATTTGACACAAATTTTCCAGATCTGTACCCCGACCTTTGGTTCTGTTTTCATGCTATGCACGTCTTGCATGCGTTTGTCATGACTTATTTTCCGTGTATATGTTACGATTTCGGTGTCAACAGTGGGTTGATATCAAGTTAGTGTTGATGATGATGATGATGATGATGATGATGATGATGATGATGATGATGATTATCATGAATGGTAATTTTAAACAATCATTGACAGAGCATATTTAAATGTTAGCATAATGTGTAATAATCCAATATCAACAATGGATTCGTTTTTTTTTAATTGATTTCGAGGAAGAGATTCTCCCTAATCTACAGTCTTCATTTGGAATAAACTGTCTGGAAATGCTCGGTATCTTTCTTCTGTTCAGATTTGAAATTAGTTAAAAAAAAAAAGTGTCATATGGCCTAATGGTACTATTTGCTGGCTTTGCACTTTATTGTGTCACGTCATGTGCCCTTCAGTTGACACGACCTTCGTGCTTTAGTGTGTTATCACTTAGTTCAATAAGCAGACTATTTTTTTCGTTTCAACAACTATTGCTATTAAAATTGCCACGTAACCCTTGAAATGTTAAGATCATTCTGAAGGCTTCACAAAACGTGTTGTGACTTCATTTATATAGTTTCCACATAAGTTAATAAAACAGTTGATTTAAAAAAAAACTGTTTTTGGTTAGGTTCACGAGAGCTTCAACTGTGCAACGTTATTCCGCCGTTTAATTGAAACAAAATACTTATGTTAAAGTGGCTGCAAAAAGGTTTTCTACTTTACATGTGTATCGGAACAAAGATATCACTATTCGCACCATTCAAATTTTCACTCAGACGTCTGCGGCTCGTGCAAATCCACCAAATGAAATCGTTTTATGACGTCTTTATAGTAAAAGATGCTATAATATAATGGATCTTTGCGATAGTGGCGTCAGATAGCGCATAGTATAAGTGCTATTACAAATCGATACTATCCGTTCCCCTTATACGCATACAATTGTTAGAAAACCCCATTACAATCCATTTAAAACCTCGTTGCCATCGTTAAAGCGTAGAGAGTTCTAGAAAGTTGGTTATCAGTCTTCGATTATTATTAACGTCTGTGTTTTGACGACAGAAAAAAAATTGACATCAATAATATCGTTTTATTTGTATATCATTCTGTTTTATACGACTTATAAAGAGAAATGTCATTGATGTATGGAAACGTTATATAAGCCTACGTATGAAGGTCGCATGTAAAAAGCCATTTAACACAAGTATGAAAGCAATTCTTTTTATGAAATGTAGTAAAGGCGTGTTTTGATTGTTTTGTTGTTGAAAGGTACATTTGATAAATGATACATAAGTAAGTAGTAAGGATACGATAATCGTCTAAAACATGCAAAAAAATAATTTAATATAATTAATCGTCAGTTTATGAGGTTTATGTAGATTTTTCTCGGAATGTTAAGTTCCAGAGTCCAAATTGTCGTCTATACATCTATAGGCGTATTGCTGTATGCTGTATTCGTTGACGTATAACCCAATCAAATCGCTGACCGTGAAATACGAAAGCTGGGCATTGCAGTCAAGGTATACGATGAAGACGTAATGCCATGACCATTGTGAAGATACAGTAATGAAGAGCCCCATAACCAATTTGAGTACCCACAGACAAAAGGTTTATGTAGGAAAAACAAAGCAGAAGAAATAAGGTCATAGTAATTCATCTAAAAGGCTTCCTTTTATCATGAAGAAAATTCATGTACTGTATAAAGTATATTTGACAGGAAAGATTATACTGATGTCTAATATATGACAATAAAGCTCATTTTTTGCGTGTAATCTAATGATCTTAACCATACTATGATAGGTCAAATAGTAAATAGTAAATAGTTTATAGTATATATACTGAAATCAGATTATACCTTACTTAGCAGAACTAAAGGCCATATATCGTGACATTTCTAAAGGTGAACTCAGGTCGACAAGCGATATAAAGAATCTGATAGCCTACATCACAGCCGATGACCGACGTGAACATAATTAAAGGGTCCTCTAAATTCTGTATGTGTATAGGGGACACTGATAGCATCAATTTTCACCATTCCAATTCACAGTAAGACGTCTGTTGTTCCTGCAATTCCGCAAAATTTGATGACGTCACTTATCGCGAGGCCTTTAGTGATTAGTGACGTCATCAAACACTTGGTTTTAGGGGAATTCTAATTCGGACATCTAATTGAAAATTGCAATCCCTTTATTACAAATAAAAGCGAACAACTGAATGATCGCTGATTCCAACGCTCTGAAAAGATTTTTGAAAGAAAAAAACTCGCAAATACAATATTTCAGTCGACCATTCTACCAGATTTTTCCAGTCGCAAGGCCGACATGAGTCCCTTTTAATTTAAATTTTCTTGCAAATTAAATATTGAGCTGTTAGGGTACTCAATTGTTCTCAAATCTTCGCTTCCAAGAGTTATTATATCCTGGATTGTTAAAGACATACGCCACAAGGATTAATGTTTTAAGATATAACGAGTCAACTCATCAGAGTTTTGGGGTAAAAGCAGATAAAGGTTACAATCGGACTAAGATATTGACTTCAAATGAGCTATTGAAAACAACGTGAGAAAGGCAGCTAGTGATCAGTCTCAGTAATTGTCTGGACTGAATTAAATCTGAAATTGAGAAACATTGACCCAGTACTGTGTGGGACAAAGATTCATTACGGCTATTTAGAACCTTTTAAACGAGTCTATTACAGAGAATTATAATGTCACAAGAAGAATTCCAGAGGGTCTCTATCAAATACACGTATTTCATATATTTTCATATAGAACCATATTAATAAAAATTCTTGAGAACTTTATGATCGTGTCTTTTTCCAGTTCGAATTTCCCTCGGGAATATATGATTGATGTTCGAGGCTTGTAGCTTTGTTCATCAAGTTATTGTGAGGTCGTTATTCCAGTAGACAGATTCCGATCATTGGTAATCAATCAAAATGATTTTCAACACTTTAATAAAATATAGCATCTAACGCCTTCAAAATGATCATTCCATCAATGTCGTGATTTAAAGACTGTGAAATCGTTTTATACTGAAAAGAGAGAACCATCCTTTGAACCTTTCACATAGACTCATCTAAGAGAATAGAATTTAAATGTCCTTTTTAAAAGATGATTCGATTAAGAGACATCGCGTTTTTCCTAAAAAATTGTTAATATGCAAGTGTGTTTATGTTCGACTAAGGATTCACAGAATGGTGTCAGATCAATCGCAGCTGGCGTAGGCGAATCGCTCATATAAAAATTAAAAACTACTAACAATTGCAACCATTTGGATGATTTCATAATATTCAGACTGCCCAGGTTGGCGACAAGATCCAATTTTCGTTAAAAAGTAGATTAGTAGTTTATAGTAGCTGGAGACAACATGATCGATGTTTCCCTAAAATTGGTAACATTTCCCAGATGTTGTAAGCGGTCGCTTGCTTTGTTAATAATTCCTTTCCTCTCACAATCAGGCACAAATGATACAACCAGATCCCAGCCCATTCCTTTAGTTTCTTTGCGCATAAGAAGCTTATATTTTTGAAATAAGTGCCATTTCAAGTATTGTTTCAATTGTTTCGAGACGATGGTCCCCTGGCCACCTCCCACTTTGGAGCCGTTACTGAATAACGTCTGGTTTGGTCTGGTCTGGTCTCCGACACTATTCCTGAAATATTTTGCTCTGCACGGCGTTGCCCATTCTCAGTATCCAAATACGGTGATTAAAAGTAGGCCATTCTAATCATTAATATCCATATGGGATTTTGACGAAAATGAATTATGGTTTATTAGGATCAAATAATGTGCTAGGGAGATCATTAAATGTAATTATTAGAAAATCTTGTATCACTTCATTCCAATTTTCGATTTTTAAATGAATTCTTTTTAATTTTTTTTAAGGCTTCTGTGATTCGTTATATTTTTTCACACACATTATAGTATAACGAGAGCTGACAAAAAGACTTAATTAGATCATTTTTAGATATTTTTTACATTGAACGAAAAAAAAGGGAATTGGTGGTATCTGAACTTGAAAATGATCGTTAAAATACAATATTGAGAACTGATTGGTTAATCTCATTGCGGTGGTAATATCAGCCAATAAAAATTAAATAAGACTTGTATGTCCGAGAATTTATGCCACGGGTTATCAGATCATGCTAGTCACTATTGGCTTGGTATTACACCAATAACCCAACCCTCAGATGAGGCCAGGTGGTTAGTTGGTTTGGTTTGGTTTGGTTTGGTTTGGTTAGGATGCTGGTATTGATTGTGTGGAATGGGGGCGATCAATGTCTTGTTTTTTTATACGAACCGTTCATCATTGTGTTGTGTTTTGTACTAACTGTTCATCAATGTCTTGTGTTTTACACTAAGCGTTCATCATTTTGTTATGTTTTACACTAACCGTTCATCATTGTGCCCAATTTGAAAGATTGTCACAAGTGCTCAACACACTGACCAAATATAGATTCTATATATAGAAACACTCTCCCAAAGCTCTCCATTCTGGTCATTAGTAAGATGAAATGTTAAAACCGATTGGAAACAAAATTATTCCATTTTCTAAAAATTGCTTTGGGCTTAGTCTATATTTGATTTGATGGAATCGTGGAGATAGCATTTTATAACACTACTAGACTTATGTCTGGACTGTTCCCTGATTACAATTTATTTGTAGGAAGTAAAGTAGTTTCGGGCGTTACCTTTTCGCCGACCAGGAATCTAGGCTTTGATATATCACTATCAGGTATATCTGGATCCCTGATATTGGTTTCGATTAAGTTCCGGTATTCCGGATCATTTAGAATTATGGGATTGGTCCCCACTTTTGTAGCCATTATAAACTGCATAATGTCAGACGTCACAATTTCAAGCCTTGACTGCAATAGCCACTATTATTGTAACGCGGGGTGCAAGGATTTGATTGGAATATGAGCCAGCAAATCAGATTATGGCTTATGGTTATTGATTATTATAATACAAGAATATTGACTATTGCTTTCAAGTTCAAAAGATTAACATTTGTGAAGATGATCAGACGGAAGCTAACAGGCTAAATGACACAGGCAGCATAAAGGGATTGAAATGTCAGCTGACACGTTTTCTATCCTGGACAGCACCTTTAAGTTGAATCTCTCCAACCTATTTCTTAACTACAAATACTCAAAGGTAAAATGGGAAAAAGAGAAGCCATGAAAAACCATTACGTCATTATTAATCGGATTTACTGCCATATTCTGAGGCAATGATTAAAAAATAAATAATCATTTTCTGTCGCTATCTCAATGTTACCAGTGCTCTACCCGGCCTCGGGTGGTTATTCTCTTATACAATTCTTCATTTTTCAACAAAATGATAAGCAGAGAGTCGCTGTTTGGCTTCAGAATATGAGACATCAGCCATCAGACTGGTATTTTAAAGTTTTGTGATATATTTATATAATATTAGCTTTTTGTTAGATAAACCCCTCATTTGTATTTTCTTGTCAGTGCCAGTGAGTAGGTTTCAAGTCACTCAAAAGAGCAAAGTGACATTAATAAACCGAAGGCCGCAAGACACTTTACCAAGGTTTGAAAACACCATTAATAAAAAAAATAACAACATGATAAATGATTGGATGAAATGTTTTTTAAACACATTGATAAGTCAACGAAATCAGCACTTAAAATGGGGTTTTGTTTTCAATGGTTCGAATGCAAACGTAGAGCTTCCGGTTATGGCGGATAGATCGCCATTCCCGCTGAATGAGTTCTTGTTGATTGACTGAAGGGCCTTGTCGCTGGAGAACACGACATTACGAGTGACGTAGCCAAGGAAGTTGGTTATGATTCGGTCTGTAAGGGTTCTGGCGTTGTCGTGCGGATAAATGACACCATGTTAGAGAACTGGTCAGATTGTCAGACGAAGAATGTCATCGATTTTACGCTGGGATTTCAAGTTGCCATTAACGATAACCAATTGAGTCCTGTGCTGATCCCTCCTCACACCATGATACTCCATCGTACCACCTCGCCCCCTCCCCCTCCCCCTCCCCCCCTCCACTTACTACAAAACACGGTACTTCTTGTTTCCTCTTTTAGAGATAAAGAGAAATTTGTTATGGTTATTTTGATTTAAAGGGTGAAGAGTTATCGTAGTTCCTTGAATGATCTGAATCCGTGATACAAGTTTTTAGTACTACTTTGACATTTAAGTAGGTTCTGCTATCAGAGATAGATTGCCATTCAAAGCGTGAAAACGCCCACATGGCTCTTAATTCCAAATAAAAGCCTGTAATACCAGCTCTCTATAATGATCAACAATCACCAAAATTGATTCGATCATCGTTTTGACACAAACATTATCAATGAAAAAATTGTAGCCTTAGAATGGGTTCGAGATAGGTCTTCCAGCTGACGTATAGACGGAAGACAATGAAAGTAATAACGCAGCTTTAAGGGACAGATTATGGTGGATTGATCTGAGTCTTCAGATATTCTAGAACTGTACGAAAATCGCACAATTCCTTCAAAAATATCTCAAACAAGGAAAATCGTATCCTATTTCTATTTCGCGGATAATTATGGACACATATGAATTTGAAGGCTCACATTTCGACGGTGAGCAGTGAACACTACTACTGATTGGCTTAGCTCAAAAAAATCCCCGTTTCTGAGACTTAAGTACGACTGGTAAAAAATGGCACATCTGTCCCTTTAATTGGTGCCTACCCAGTTGCTTCCGTGGATCTTTCGTTCACCATGTTTTCAAATGAAGCGAGGGGTGAATACATTCAAGACCTTGTGTGCTACAAAAAGTTCAATTATAAATGGAAATCGAAAAGTGGTATTCATCACCAACTTGACAAAATACGTGCTGTATCGTGACGTTGTTATCTTCAGTCCCAATAAACTTAATTTCTTTTTCTATTGTTTAAAAACTTGAGATAATCAGATGAACTATATTTATAATTTCAGGTAAACGAAAAAGAAGAAGTCTACGAAATCTGCAAAAACGTTTACAAACCACCAACCTGCGAGATTCAAAGTTAGCAGCATAATGGACAAATAGCAGTTTCTTCACAAGACCAAAAATAGCATTCCAAACTACTTCTAACATATCAAAATTACTATCAAAACCGTTCAAGTTAAAACAATACCAAATGGATGTTACAGAACAACATTACAAGATCAAAAAATAGCATTCCAGATTGATTCGAACAATCAAATTACTTTTGCCAATATCTCTTAATATTCAACAGGACTGGACAACCAGGACACTGTTTACCCTACATCAATACCTGGCATACTTTGATGTAAAACTTTTCCACTTCCCTCAATGTCTGCTGAAGATTACACAAGACGTGTGAAAATTAGCATATGGGCTAATGCTGACACAGATTTCGGATTATAGTCACACCTTAGTGCTGTTCAATGTATATCCGAATTATCCTGTTTCAGTTTTCTTCTTATATAAGTATGCCAATTCAGTTATCTTATACACTAGGCCTATTATACACCTTTTCTGTTCTGCTATCTCATACACCTTTTCTGTTCTGTTATCTCATACACCTTTTCTAAAATTCTATTGAAATAATTGAAATGATACATGGCAAATGAGTCCGAAACTTGAAGACTAATACCAGCTTAAATCGTTAATACCAGAGGTTGGTAAGTCAGCAAGTTTCGGACTATAGTCACACGTTAGTGTTGTTCAATATATTCGAATATGCTATTTCTTTTAACTGAAACCCCTCTGAATTTATTGAAATTGTTATATAAAGTGTTCCAGTGGTTTTCCAATTAGTAAATTGTTTTATGCTCGTAATGAAAATCTTACTATTGGAATCCAAAAGAATGTGAATTTGTAGAAAAATTGAAACTATGACAGATTTCTTTGCATTGAAGATTATAACCACGAAAGACATAGAATTTCAGATTGATGCAAACAACTCTTATAAAGGGGGGGGGGGGGGGGGGGGCACTTTACTGGGTGCTTGAACATTGCAACCGTTGCATAAACGAATAGATACGATTCTTGCAAGAAACTAGATCATAAGCAACGGATGGCAACTAGCAGCAACTGTAATTTATCGCGCTGGTCTCTTAAATATAATGATTGATCCAGTTGTTCTCAGCATCGGGCAAAAAGCGTGATCTTATTTAAGAAAAAGGAGGGGTTTGAACGGTTTACATTTTTGTTTTAAAATTTGAAAAAGTCCATGCTGTTATTGTGCTGTTAATTGCTTGAATTAAAAAATTATATGTGCAATGAAAGTGAAGAAAATAATGCGATCTCTGCACAAGATACAATAAAAGAATTCGAAACACCAATCCTTGTTTTTTTTATAAATTATTCTCTGTGCGCCGGAAACTATCTGGCCCTGAGCAGTTATGGACACGATCCACCTACCCGTGGCACAGAGGTCTGACCAAAAATTGGAATGGTACAAATCGTTGTCATAAATCAAGGTCCCTGCAATTAGTCTAAAAACGCCTAGGTTTCCAACATAAATCCGGATCAGCTTTAGCTCAGCAATTGGGATTCTAGTCGACTGTCCATACTATGTTCATCCGCATCGCTGTCTCCTGAGAACCCAACAGCAGTAAAGATTGGAAAAAGAAGTTGATCCTCTGCCAGCAGGATCGAAGCATGGGACACCAGCTGATGCAATCCCTGACAGGAATGCTGAAACAATTGACTTGTTCAAACTATGCACTTTATCAATACAAACTTTCGATGTACAAATAGTTACTACACAACAACATGTACATGAAACGGATTATGTTGCTGTTATATAGTACAAGATGTATATCACTGAGTATCTTAAATTGACAATTTTGGACACATTATGGGTTTGAAGGCTCAAATTTCGATAATGAGCTATTAACATTATTAGGGCCTACTGATTGGCTTAGTTAATAAAAAATCCCGTTTCTGACGCTAAGTCAGATTGACAAAACAAATGGTGCATCTGTCCCATAGAATAATACTATGAATATGAGATTTTCTATGACATTTTGTACCCAAGGCCAGTAAAGATAGGGTGGTTGAGGTGGGACAAATTGATACAAATTGTTTCATTCAGAAGAAAGAATATGTCTTCACGTGAACCGTGGTATACGAGAGGTGGATGGAATACTGGTGCATGGGATTCAAAAAAGGGGGATTAGAGAAAAAGTATAAATATGGAATAAAAAAGCCTAACCATAATTCAAAGACTCAGACACAAACGCCTTCGCTCTAAGAATAAATATCTTATGACCAGAAGTTTACAATTTTTTGATAGAAAATATATCCAAGAAAACTAAAATAAAAAGAAATAGTAGGTTACACTGCAAATCATTTTCTGTAAAGCCGTTAAAATTTATGGAAATTTGTTAAATTATGGGTCAGGATAAACGTTTCTTTACGGCTTTTGGTCTGGCAACCAAGCTACCAGCCAAATAAGATGTTAATTGACAGAAAAAAATGCCCCTCTGTACCCCACTGATCTTAGAACATTCCATTAAAACATTAAGACATAACAGTTATCACTTCATCAAGATACTGGGAGATCTACCGTAAGTGAATCACACTTTCAAGACACAGGAATGAATTTCGGGACTGGTCGTAGTGCAGTTTAAATTAGAAAAGTACTGAAAGGAGAAAAACTTGAAGTCCTATGGGAGTTCAAGGGAGGTAATTCCAAAATAATATCATTAAATCCAGACCAACTTCAAGCGAGACCAGCTACAAAACTATTCCCCAAACAAACATTGAGAAGGAAGAATTATCTCTGTCGCAGTGTCTTCTGGGATGTGACAGAGAAAAGGAAATGAAATGAAATCGAGTTTAACATACTTTAAGACCTTTGATTGAGCTAATAACAACTTGCAATGCCATGTAGTACACAATAAGGAAATTTTGACTGGAAAATCCACATTTCAAGAAATACACTTATCTGAATGGTTTACATAATCAATCTCAAATAAACTAATGCTCAAAAGAAAGTACCCACCTATATAATTTACAGTACGATTAACAAAAATTAAAATAAAGTGATTAAACCACTGTAATACATCTCACACACGGTCAACACAAAATTTCACATGAAAAAATGATGAAAAAAGTGAACGAATTACGCAAACGACGCTAAAAATAAAAAGCGACAAATTCTGATGTTGCACGAAATGCACGTGCATGATGAGGGTATAAATCAGTTTACTGGACAAGTTAGCAACAGAGGATAAAGAAAAACACAAAAAGTATGCCACGTTTGAGCCGGATTGAACGAGAAAGAGCTGTGGGAATGGCGCAACATGGAGCAAACATCACCTTGATCGCAAGAACCTTCGGGTGCTCCAGAAAAACTGTAACAAAATTGATGCAGCGTTTGAGGCAAACAGGCATTACATCAGACAGGCCTAGGAGTGGTCGACCACGTGTCACAACGCCAGGTGAGGACCGCCACATCAGGACAATTTATCTGAGGAATCGTTTCGTTACTGCAACAGCAACGGCATCGGCGGCATTGGGGCATCGTATCAGTCGACACACAGTGTACCGGCGACTGAGGGAACGTGGTATCCGAGCACGTCGCCCCTACCGAGGAGTGCACATGACACTTCAACACCGACGTCGTCGATTGACATGGTCCAGGAGAGTTCGGCGATGGCAGATTCGTGATTGGCAACGTGTGATGTTCACGGACGAGAGTAGGTTTTGTCTTTACAAAAATGATGGTCGTGCTCGTGTTTACAGACGTATAGGTGAGCGTTTAAGACCAAATTGTGGTCAGAAAGTCAGAGCGTTTGGAGGCGTTAGTGTGATGGTGTGGGGAGGGATCTGCGATGATAGGAAAACACCACTTGTGACTATTCGTGGCAACCTTAATGCTCAAAGGTACAGAGACGAGATTTTGCGACCAGTTGTTCTACCATTTATCCGGCAACAACCCCGTGGCATTGTCTTTCAACACGATAATGCAAGGCCACATACAGCAAGATTGACAAATGACTTTCTTCAAAACGCCAACGTCGTTGTTTTACCGTGGCCAGCTTGTTCTCCCGACATGAATCCGATTGAACACCTATGGGATTACCTCGATCGGCAAATCCGAAATCGACCGACGCAACCTGTCACTGCTCAACAGCTGGAACAATGTCTCGTAGAGGAATGGCAAGGAATAACGCCTAACGTCATCCAACGTCTTACATCATCAATGCGTCGACGTGTTGTCGCCTGCATTGCTGCTAATGGGAGTCACACTTGCTATTAATTAATTAATTGATAAATAAATATTGATTATTTTTTAAAGACAATTTGCCTTCTGAATTTCTGTAAAAGTAAACCCGACCCCCCTTGTCTTTGTGTGCCGGTCGAACAGTAAACACGGCTGTCTGTTACTCAAATTTGTGTAAATTTGTTGTAGAAATGAATATTCTATTGGAATTACATAGTTGTTCATTTCAATCTGCTTTTGTTTTCTCCTAACAATTGGTCAAACATAGTGGGTACTTTCTTTTGAGCATTAGTTTATATTTTATTGATTGAGCAATAAAATGACTGGAAATAAGGCCATGAAGGACACAAGGAGAAAATTTTGCCAGGACAATAGGATAACCAAATTCTGTTTACCTTCAGGTGAACGAGCCATTGCAGCACAAATAGAAAAGAGATGAGGGTTAAATGTAAAGATGAGATACCTTGTGTTAGATACACCATTTTTGAGATCTTCAAAAGTACAAGAAGTGTATGAAAATAACATAATTCCTTCAAGAAATATATCAAACTAGGAATATATTTTCCTATATCTATAGATGTCTTTTCTGTATATTAGTGTCTAAAGGAAACTTTAAACTGCAGATAATAATGGACAAGGGGAGCTTTTGTGAACACTGATAGGCTCAGCTAAAAAAAATTCCTGTTTCTGAGACTGAGGTATGGTTGGTCATAATAATGGAATAAAATACTCTTTTTTCGTATATTATTTTACTTTATTAAAATGACCACAAAAACAAGAAGTAAACAAAACCAAATGACATAAAAACAAAATAACAATAAAATGAATTGAATATAAACAATATGAAACTTTATATACAAATTACTGTAATTATATTCAAATAATCAAAAAATTTAAAGTCTAAGTCCCCCATTTATAGAATTTTAAGCCAACCACTTGTTGCAAGTAAATAATATAAAATATATAAGGAATTAAATACCTATTAAATTCAATTGCAAATAATTTCAGAAAGGAAAAAAAATGAAAGAAATAAATGTATTTTACAAGGATAACAACTTCACAAATAATCCTATCTTGAAGTCATCTTGCCAAGATTATCCATACCCATTTACAGATGAGCTGTAGAATTTTCATACTGTCAGGTAGAAAATTTTTGGATATTATTTTTCCATGCTACAATAGTTTGATTTCATTTACAGTATGTAATATCAGAAATCACATATATATTTTCTATATTTAGAAGCTGCCATGTTGCATTTTGCAGTAGAGAATAACTATTAATAAGGCAGCCTCTATCAGAATAACTACAAGGCATTGTAAAGAGGTTTTCCAAAAAGATTATGTATATAGAGAACATTATAAAGCCAAACATCAAAACTACGTTAAACTTTTTAATTAACAATTATTACTCTCCATTTTTAATTAACCATTCATATAACAAATTCAATATCAATTAGTGCATACATAGATATAAATAGCATACTTTGGAAATATTTTCAGGTATAATTACGTTTTTGATACTTAAAATTTGGCATACTGTCCCAGTAACTTAACTTTTTCAAAGGAATTTGTGAAATTGGCCCTCAGAAAATACCAACTAAGAAGTACATCTATAACTTATTTTACAAAACAATCATCATTTCATAAAACAAATTCCTATCTGAATTCAAGGTAGCAAACAATTATAAGCTCTCTGAACTCACAGAAGGTACTGAGTTGAAAAACCCAGTCTAGGAGTGGCATAAGAAAGTTAATTCAATTGTTGAAAAGCCTTGTATTACCTTAAAAAACAAAATGACCTATCCATGAAAACAAGACAAAAACTTACTATGGTTTGATTATATTACCATATAAGTCAATCTAACTTATATTTCTTGTATCTTATATTAATGGGATTAACTTGTTTTGCTTAAGTTGAAGTCAACCTAGATAGATTCCCTTTTTACAAAAAATCTGTAAAGGGATTGTAAAGAGATTTCTAAAAGAAATTTGTATAAGGGAGACACTGATATCATCAATTTGCACCATTCCAATTTTTAATCAGATCTCTGAAGTTCCTGAAAATTCACTAAAACGAATCGTTGAGCCACAAATTGCGAAGGCCTTATGTGATAAAGCATATTTTGCAATTAGTGATGTCAAACAATTTTTTTTTCTGGAATGGCAGTAACCACTGGACTAAAATTTGGAGCAAATTGATTTTATCAGTGTCCCTGATACACATTACAAATTTAGAAAGCCTCTTTACAATCCCTCTGCTCTATATAATCAACACTTCAAGTTATATATACAAATTGGAATTCCGATTTTGAAATAATATTCTCTTCAGACTCAGTGTTCAAAGAGTTCACAATCAAAATTTCATTTGGGAAAGCTGATCAATGCTTGATATATGTCTTCGTAGATATTTGTGGAAGTTACTTCTGAGTCAAAAATATTTTAATAATGTCAAGGCAAAATAAATCACAATATTTCACCAACCAGTCTGGCACTTGATCCCATATTGATAAGTTATCGCCAACAGAATATTTTTGTTGAATGAAAAATAAATAGTTTATAGAAGTCACGGAATTGATATCATCATTTCTGTTGTTGAACTGTGTCGGAAAGCCTGAAAAATGAAAAATCGAATTTCATTCTATAGTTGGTGATAACTGTTGAAAGCTGACTTAGTGCATTAGAATTATTTTTCACCTAGCAGATAACAATTAACTTACAAAAACTTCTTTCCTTAAACTGGGTCTAATGGTATAAGGATCAAATACATTTAAGTGTTATATTATTTCAAATTTGATTAGGTTCATCTGTTAACAAAAATTCATGTTTTGATATTAATGACTTGGATTTTATTAATATATTGTTTAAGAAATCAAGCAAAAAACTGACAAAGTGAAAAGAAAAAATCTCACCATTCCATAGCCTCATCAAGTCCCAGTCCTTTAATAGCTGAAGTTTTAAAGATCTGATATTTACGATTTTTTAATGCTGACAGACCTAATGCATTAGCTACCTCTGATACAGTCATAGCACCTTCTATATCTTGTTTATTAGCAAATACAACTAATACTGCTTTCTTTAACTCATCTTCCTATTAATAGAAATTATCAAGTGGTTAATAAAAGGGAAAAAACAAAAAGGGAAAACAAAATATGCTCAATTACCCATTTTTTTTTATCAAAGGCTTTTTTGAATGGCATTTAGTAAAGGTGTTGGATATATTGAAAAAATTCTTATGGATTACAATTACTAACTTTATAAAGTTATAAGAATTTTTTCATTATATCAAAGGCTGTCAATATTTGTCAAATCATCAAATTCTAATTTCTAGTGGAATTCCACCACACATAATTCCTCACATTTCTGACAAAAAATTGTCCCCTGTTATGTTCACAAGCTACTTTTAATGTATATTCAGTATATCAAATCATACCACGTATGATCTTGTGGATATAAACCTATACACCTTGTATATTACATTTATTATACTTATAATTATCGTAAACTGTTCATGGTTTCAATTACAATTGTCCCTGGACATATACAAATGTCTTTGCTTGATTCTAAATGGTTTCTAAATTGAAAGAAATACAAATAATGAATTGAGTACCTCTAACATAGAGACTAATTCTTGTTTAGAAATACCAATTCTATCTCTATCCATACTATCAACAACATAAATAATAGCATCTGTATTAGAATAATAACATCTCCAATATGGTCTGAAATGAACAAATACAATGACTTGAATATCACTAGTTTTTTCACCATCATTTACACAATTAGTTTAAGGTCCAAAATGCTTAAGTAATTTTAAAATGATTTTCTTAAAGGGACAGATGGGCCATATTTTAACTGATACTTTTTTTTATTAGCTAAGCCAATCAGTAATAGTGTTCACAGTTCACCGTCGAAAATCAATGTGTGTCCAGGATTATTCGCATTTGAATGTTAAAATGTCGACTCGTTATTTTAAGATACTCTGTGGTATATAGAAAAAACATATAGAAATAGTGAGTAAAATTCTGAGTTTTAAGTATTTTTGAAGGAATGTGATTTTCTGTACATTTCTAGTACTTCATGACAAAAATCAAATGCCACACTTGTCCCTTTAACATTTTATGTGTATTAGAGACACTGATAGAATTAATTTACCCCATCCAAATTTCAGTCAGGCTTTTGAGTCAATGAACACTAAGCGTTTCATGATGCAACTATCACATAGGTTCAGCTTTTGCAATAGTTACAAATTGGAATGATGTAAAAAGAGGCTATGTATGATTCCAGTACACATCTAGCTAGAAACTCTTTTCACAACCCCTAAAATAATTTTACAGAAATTGGCTTTGTGCGATTGCTGTCCTATTATCCTAGTGATACAATGTGAAGATAATAATATCTATATTTACCTGATACTTGTTTGACCTCCAAGATCCCACACTTGAAATTTGAGATTTTTATAAGTTACTGTTTCAACATTGAACCCAATAGCTGAAAATTGACAAATTTTCATTAGTATAATGATGTGTACCAGTATTTTTTGCAACAATTTACTTCATTTGCTAAAATCAATATATTAGATGAAAGCTTTTTAACAATACATCTATCCTGACAAGGGAAAATTTTTTTAAAATTTGTATGTGTTGTGCATTCATTCTGAAAATTCAATTTCAATAAGCTTATTTTCTAATCAACACAAAAAATTGACATTTTTTGAGAAATCACAATATAAATTTCGAGCCCTAAATAGGCATAACTTGACATATTGTACCAAACAGTATATGGAAACTGTATAGTAAGTAAAAATATGAGATCTGCAAAGGCAACCATAACTTATGACAAAAATTGTTTTTAATTCTGAGCCCACTATAGACTGAGAGTAGGCCTACTTACTTGGTATGGTGGTGACAACTTCACCAACTTGTAATCTGTATAATATAGTAGTTTTACCAGCACCATCTAAACCTAATATTAATATTCTTCTTTCTTTACTACCAAATAATCCAGAGAAATAACTCAATAATCCTCCTACAAAATAAAACCCAAATATAACAATGTTGGAGCTGGACAGAAATAGTAAGCTCAAGCATATCTGAAGTATATCTAAAGATATCATATCTCAAACATTTGCTCTAATTATTTACTTTTCCAGTTAAAAGTTAAAAGAGCCCAATTAACCAATTCATAGTACATTTTCAAACCTTCTTCAACTAAACAATAATGTAGATCCTAGATGGCATTCTAATATGCAGATAATAAATTAAAACTTAGAGACTTCATTTAGTTTATGGATAGCTGAAATTAAGCTCTCATCATCAAGAAAGAAAATATCTCGAACTGTATAAGCTGCTTATCTCTTATGAAACGGGTTAGAAAGCAAATATTTGAAGGTAGTAAGAGAACAAAATTTCTTTCTCAATCAGTCCAGTAAAAAATGGACTTCATTGTTCATTGGACAGCAATAAACGTCTTTAGTAGTCCAACCAGGTGCAAAAAATTGGCATTCAAACTCCCAATTATATCATTTGTTTCTTCAAACACAAACCAAGAGTAAGAAGAGTAGGTCAAAACGAATTCACTACTAAAACTCAATACTAAAAGTGGCATTATTTGGCAGGTATTAGCAAGAGTTTGCAAATCAAAGACACCATTTTCGTGTTTCACATTCAATGCAATGATTAAGGAGGTATGAGTTTCAGAACATATTTACCCATTTTGAATATGGATCGAAATCACAAAAGCTTATCAATCAATCAGAATATCAGCAGTTAATTAACCACAGTTTGTCTTAATAATTACAGACGACGTGTCCAAGCTTTAGTCACATAAATAAGGCTAGATTATCCAGTTCGTTCTGCACCGTTCTCGTTTTAAAAACAAATACTGGATACACGCGACTTCAAACTCGATGGACATTATATTTGATTTCGTAAAAGAAATGCAATAAAACCTATTTGCTGGTCTTGAGTTATATCAATTCTTTTTAGATATAGGCCAAATCTTTCATCACTAGATTAATGATTTATGAATTACTTACGGGATATTGATACGAAAATACAATTCATGTAGACTTGATTATTGTCACCGTTTTTACTCTGGAAGTTCTATGGAAGAGACTGGACATTGTTGAATTTCTACACATACAGAGCTGGCAATTAGTGTGCAGCCATTAGCCCAAAAGAAAGAGAAAGAAAATGTCACGACGGTATCAAGCAGAAGGTGCCCTTTTTATAGGAAGATTAAGTAAATCTACAAGAGTTCGAGATTTAGAAGAAATTTTTGAACCATACGGAAGGCTTGTTCGATGCGATATCAAATATGGTAGGTATTATTTTTTGTTTCTTGGATCAAAATTGTTTAATGGCTTTTCTGAGGAGAGTGAGATACAAGATCAAAGATGGCTTTGCTTTTGTTCCATTGGTTGACTTCAATCAGCTTAGTAAACGTCACCAGTTTTAAAAAATTTGACTAATAGGCCTATATCAAATTCTAAATGTTATTTGCATCATGAAAATATGTTCCACATTCCCCTTTTCTATTTTGTTCAAAATGTGATCTTCAGATTCGCTTCATTAGTTACTTATTAGGCTACTGATAAAATGAATTGTTGTGTTACAGTTTTGACTTCAGATGATAAGCATAAGAAATGGTCAAAAAAATGTAAAATTAACTTAAAGTGTTTTGTATTTTTCAGGAGCTGAAATGGGTATGGATTTGTTAACTTGAAGTTGCTATTTAAAAATAAAAGCTTATTAAAGACAGCACTGCAGCTAAATAAAATATCAACACCAATAATGATGTGCATATTCCTTAATCAAATTGTGTATAAGTTTTTATGTTCAAATATTTTCAATGTAGTTAATAATCTTGATATTCAATTAATTTATTATAATGACCACCATTTTATTCTTTGTGTACTTGTTTACTACTACAAGTTGAAGTTAACATGTAGGCCGTTGCAGTAAAGCTCAACTGTCTGTAGCATGTGCAGCAGTTAGTTGAATTTTAGACTAGGCTGAATGCATTTAAAGCTCAAAATATAATGATAGCTGAAAATATTCGTTTAATTCAATGTAATTTTTTTTACTTCCACAGCTTATGCTTTTGTTGATTTTGAAGACAGACGAGATGCAGCTGTAAGTGTTTTTCATAGAAATTTTTCTGAATTTTTTTTTTTTTATCAAAATTAGATTTCTTGTAACACAGGATTTTTCAATTTGAAGGTTATTGCAGATTCATGCATCATTTCACTGGCTTTATCATTCATTATCATTCATGCAAAATTTAGAGTTTTTTTTTTTATTGACAGCAGAAATTGTTTTATAGTGAACTATATTTCAATGTTATTAATGCTTGATAACTTTCACATTACCTGTGTCTCTAATGTAGCTACCTTTGCCAGGATTGCCAAATAACCAGTGCCAGTGCCTCCAGGTTTAAAGCATGCCTGCCTTATTCAACAGTTAGACCCTTAGCCGTACCATAGAAAGTAAAATTGAATTTGAGCTGGCCATGGCTCACTTCCCAGTCCATCCATACCCAATGCCAAACAACATTGAGCGTTAGTTCCATACCATTGCTAATCCAAAGGACTAGTTACCGAGCCTGACCAAGCCCAATCAGGAAAAGAAATAACTACCAAATTAGAGCAAACCACAAGCATTAAGAATCCAAAATACAATTGGTGCCAGACCTTCCATTGAGCAAGCCTAGGCTTAGTACTACAATATCTGCTTCCAATATTTCAATTATTCCTTAAAAAAGGTTTGTCAAACATTCTGAACAAAGAAGGAGATCTTGGAGGCAATAAATTCATTATTTTGGTGAAATCTGCGAGGATCATTGTTACAAGACTGTTAAAACTTTTAGTCTAAATTATAATATTATCAGTTATATGTTAAAGTGGTTGTTTGGACCAATTTACAAGCTATGATTTTAGATCATTTCTAATATTTTGACTCAGAAAAAAGGGTACCTGTGTTGTTTTACAAAAGACAATAGAGCTTCCAAAAAACTTTCAGATTTGTGTTCAATTGGAGGGATACTTATAAATTTGTGTGATTTTAAAGTTGGTCCACATAACACCTTTAAGTACATAATTATTTTGGGGTTGTTTGGTTGTATTCTGAAAAAATTAGAATTTATTGCCTCCACAAATTATAAAAATCAGCTTTGGGTGAGAAATAAAATAGTATTCATTATTATGAAACAATATGTCCTGATAATGCATGTTTGACAATGATGGATGGTGAAAGTTGTTAATTTAGGTTTAACAGTTGGGAAAGCGTTGTCAATATTAACCTTTTAACCTGTGGGATATGTTGGTGTTCATACCTTTCTGTTAAAATGTATAGTGTTCATGGTCATGAGGCTGTACAGAAGGGTTGACTTATATGCTGGACACAAAACACATTTTTAACCATATGCAAGTAGGGCTGGCACATTTATATTTGCATCTGAATATTTGCTTTCTGAGCCAATTAAATTACTTGGCTGTAGACATAAAAATTAAGGAGAGTATATTGCTTACACCCATGCAGGTCCATCTTGTCAACATTTCTTGTAAAGGCAATATAAGGTGGTCAGAATGTAGAATGAGATTTCTGACAAGCTTGGAGATATTATACTCTAAAGAAATTGCATTCATATTTTGTCTTTTGGCTATACTATTACCTTTTGGCAATTGCGATGCTCATCTGCCAGAAAGCAATTATTTAAACCATTCTATCCCTTAAAATAAGACCCAACCAATCTGTTGGTTTACAAACATTAGTCACACCCAGCCCTCCTTATACCACCATGTCGTCTCCAATCTTCACAAATTTTCAATATTTAATCATAACCTTCGTTACTTGTAGGATGCAGTGAAATATGAAAATGGACGAGAAATCTGTGGATCTAGCATCATAGCTGAGTTTGCTAAAGGAACTCCAAGACGAACTCTGGTAGGTATTTGAACTATGTCATTCAGCATGGTGTTTTTATATTGTGATTATAGCTATGTATTTCAGTAGCCTGCTTCATTAGACTTCTTCATACTTGACTATAGGGCTAATCGAGACAGGATAGTCTAGTCTTCTATTTTGGAGGATGCTGAGGTATCCTGTCATTTTGTTGTGTGGTGTAAGATCATACCATCAAATTTAATTCTTTGGAAAGTTAGACTATGTACAATCATGGTCAAAAGAAAGCTATTTTACTGGGAATATGGAAAGCTTAAGAGATTTGGATGAAGCAGGCTGGTAATACAGACTGTATTTGAGTAGTGTTTCATGTCTTACATATTTTACTAATATTGTTGTTGCATGTCATTTGAGATCAATGATGGCATCATGTAACATCTAATCAATAAATGAAGCCAGATTTGAAGACCTGAAAACACCATGTTAAACTTTGCTACTGAACATTTATTCATTGAAAAATTCCAATCTAAAGTCTCAAAAAAATATTGTAACATGCAGAACGCATGATTATTAACATATCAATTGGTTTTTGAGAATAATTAAGAATACTTCCTAAGAATTACTGTCCTTGCAAGTTTCTTTTTGTAGAATTTTAGCTATTATTTTTCTGAGAATTGGCTTTGTAATAGTACTGCTTGTGTTTCTGTTATTTAACGGTATTATTGAAATTCACTTTTAAAAATTTTTAGATTTTTTTTTAGATTCTAAATCTATCTGATGCTCATGCACTTTTTCAAACTTTTTGCAGCATTATGATCAAAATTATGAGGTATGCTATTTATTCCAAATCTTTATATTTTAAAGTTACCCTATTGGTTTAGGTTCATGGTTTCGTATTCAAAAATGTTCATGCTATAACATGGCAAAGGCATGGGTGATATTGGGACAAGTTGATACTGGGTCAAGTGGATATTGCTCAAAAATATAACACAAAACACTATCATAATCATTGAGATCATGGTTTTATTTTATATTACCAATATGTATTAATATTGATATCAGAGTTGGGTTTATTTAACAAGTCTTCTACCACAGTCTCATTCTAATGATATTATGTAACAATTTGTGGGAAACCAAAAGTAGAGCAATATGAATAGGTTTAGTCATGCCAACCTTTGTCATTGTTTTCAAGAAAGGGGTTCTACATGACAAAGCTTTGATTGGTCAAAGATAATCTCAGAAGAATAGGCCTGTGGTAGAAAGCTTGTCAGATAGCGATGGACATGATTAATATCTGATAATCAGGAAACATAAAAGAAACAAATTTGTAATCTAATTGTTATTAGACTGGATATTGGAAATCATTGCTATATAAGAGCTGCTTTATGAAATCATCATTAATAATAACAAAATATTACATGTAATTTATATTCAAAAGGCTTACTTTTACTGCTGTCACATGTATTTTCTTCAATAACAGTTCAAAACTGTCTAATATGTACCACATTTAAAGAATGCCTAATAGACTGGAAGTATTGATGTATGATATAAATATATTGGAATACCTATATAATGACAGTATTGAACATTTTGAATTTTTTTAATGCCCATCCTGTTAATATCTATCTGCTTACACAATATCGTCCAGTGCTCACTTATAAATAATTAACCTCTAACAATTTCATATAATCTAGTAGATATTCTAATTATCAAAGACAAGGTATCATCATTCTAATATTAATGGCACCAATTGTAAATTTAATTTGGAATACTTCTGGAATTAGTGAAATATTACCATAAAAGGTGCCCTCACACCATAGTGATTACCTGTTACGTATGGTTGCAAAGAATGAAAGTGGCCATGTGTTCTAAACACATCTCAAGTGCATAGGAGTAGCGTTTGAAACTATTTACCGCTATTCTTATTTGCAATCATACACAACTTACTATGGTGTGTAAGCCAATTTATTTTACAGTTTAATAATTTATTTTAGTTATAATTTTGAAAAAATGATTGTTGTGTTTTTTGCATGATATTGTGATATTCATTGGTGTCCGTTATTACCATTGGAATATATATTGTCCATTACCGTACCAGTATAAGCATTTGCATGTTAAGTAATTATCTAAGATTTTTTGTAATGTATGCAAGCCCTAACCAGCGACTGTTTATTAGCACCAACAGTCATAACTTTTGCTTTCATGCCTTACTGGTAAAGGGAATAAGCTTATCTACTTCTTCTCTTTACTAAAGATGCCCCCACACCATAGTGATTACCAGTATTTTTGCCAAAAATAAAAGTGGCCATGAGTTTCTAACACAAAATATAACTCAGTTGCATGAGGGTTTCTTTCAAAACTTATGACTGCTGTTTTTATTTGCAACTGGTGATTGCTTTGGTGTGAGGGCCCGTTAAACCAGCTGAAATTGAAATGGTTATTCCTGGAACCTAATATGTCACTTCCCCTACATCAGTTTCATTGTATCCCTTTAATATTTGGGCAGAATTCATGCCCATTACTCACTACCATTGTATCTTATTTTGACCTATTCTATACCCTTTACAGACCTTGTCTCCTGCTTTTTGTAAGGAGAAATTCTTCTTATGGGCTACAGGTTAAAAACTATACCCCAGCCCAGTCCCTTGTTGAGGAATCTTTTTATTCTTGGACAACATTAATTTGGACTGTTTTCAAGGCACATTGACCAATGCAGAAATCACACAATAACCTTTTGGATTAGAAGAGATCAATGTATGAATTTCATGAAAATTTTGCCCTTAGCATTTTTCCCAATTTATTTTTAAATTGATTCTGGTCCAAATTTTGTGTTTTGGTAATATGCAATATTTGTCCAGTTTTTATCCTATTGAAATTTCTCCACAATGTCTCTTGTTACAATCTTTATGGGTTTAAATTGATTACTTCTAACATATAATTATTTATATTTTCAGCCTGGACATTGGTCAAGAGATAATCGATTTGATGATAGATATAGTGGTGGTGGTGGATATCGTAGTGGAGGGGGAGGAGGAGGTTATAGACGTGGGGGTGGGGGAGGTGGTAGATATAGGTCACCCTCACCTAGGAGACGAAGACGGTAAGTGTCAGTCCCAGAATGGTATCACTTTCTTCTTAGTGTTAGATGGTGATGAGATCTCCCAATATCACTGGCCAAGATAGAAATGTAAAGATTTATGCTAAGACAAGGTGCAAGTTAAAAATTTAAGAAAAGTGATGGTGCCCTTTTTAAGATTTCATATTTATTGCTAGTTAGTGCTCTTTTCTTAAGAAAAGGTGTAGTGTATTTGGATTATAAACGTTTATGGGATGAAGCATAACTTTAATTACCACATATTTTAGTCTTGATGATGATTTTAAATCTGAACAATTTTGGATATCCAAGATGTTTTTTTCTGAAACTTCATGTTCTATAAAAAAAAATTCCTTGTTTCAGAACACGATCCCGAAGTAGAGATAGGAGAAGAAGCAGAAGTAAATCTCGAGACAGGAGACGAAGAAGTAGGAGCAGAAGTCAAGATAGAACTAGTAAGAGACGAAGACAGTCTCGCAGTAGAAGTGGCAGCAGAAAGAGAACCAGAACAACGCGTTCTAGATCTAAATCTAAAGAAAAATCAAAAAGTCGTTCACCTTCAAGATCACGCTCCAAGAGTGTTGATAATGTGGTAGATGATGCAGATAATGGTCAAGAAAATGGCAATTCACCATCTTACAACAAGTCAGCTAGCAGATCTCGAAGTCATAGTAGTTCATAGTTGATGCTATTTTAAATTATCATCAGATGTGGTAAAGCAGATAACTCATTGGTTTTCATTCCCTTGTGTAATTATCCTTTTCCAAAATTATTGGGAAATATATTTTTTTAAGTACTTGCATGTCCATTTGATGTGGTCATCTTTGGTTTTTATAGTAATGTGCTATTCCCTATTCTGTACACTCCATCGGGACTGGTTATCAGTGAGAGGGAGGTTTGAAAGGGTGAGGGGGGGGATTTTATATTGTTCAATGAGACCTCTGGGGCCACAAATCTTTTTTTCATACTCAGCTGATATTTTATTCAAATATGATGAAGCAGCTATTACTGTATTTCACATTAATCTTCAAATTTGACCTTTCTTGATGTAAGGGGCAGTATGAATTTGAGTAAAAACTAATCTAAGCATGAGAAATGTTTTGTGGCCCTTGAGTGATGAATTTTGAAGTTGCAGTTAAAATGATATATTGTAACTACATTTAGATTCCAATAATTTATCCTTATGCAAATATTAAGACCTGTGTACATAACTTGAAACAGTCAGATATCAAAGTTAATTATTTAAATAGTTGCATTTGAACATTCTATTTTTTGTGCCAATTTTCAACTCAAATACAATAGACATGTACAATTTTTGAAGTACTGTAGCCTAATTTTTTAAGAAATATTTTACTGTTTTTTGAAAGCAATGGTCACGAAAGCTGGTGTTTTTCTTATATAATACTGTAGAACATATCAGCTATTGGATTATAATACAGACTGAGTTAGATTTTTTGAATACATAGTATTTGTATATCTATATTTAAAAGGATAATCAGCTATGTATATGAACCCACTGTAGACTGTAACATTTTAAATTGTGTCCTTTGTGAAAATAGATAATATTTTGTATTTGTTTTTAAGTCTGTATTGTCTTTATTTGTTTGTAATAAAGTGGAGATACACAATTAATTTTGTTGTTGAAATGACTTTTTATTTGTAAACATAATTTTACAGAAGGGAATTTTTAGTCTGTATAGTAGGTCATTTTCAATTTTCTTGAAGTGGAGTGTGTTTTAAAATGTAAAATCACGGAAACCTAATATTTCTATGAACCCTAAGACAAATGGGATTGTTTTCGTTCATAGGAAATTGGTCACTTCAGTTAAGATTAGGCCTATAGCTTTAAGATCTTGCAGATAACATTGTGGCCATATTGATCCTATTGCTGTGACCAGTTTTCCTTTTGAACATATTGCTTTGAACAATTTTACCTTTTGAACATTTTGCTGTGACCAATTTACCTTTTGAACATTTTGCTGTGACCAATTTACCTTTTGAACATTTTGCTGACAATTTTTATTTTGAACATACTGTGACCAATTTACCTTGTGACAATTTATCCCTGTGACCAAAAACACTGTTAATTCAATGAACAAAATTTTTCTGCGGTGGAAATTAATTTATTACATCTTAAACCAAAATAAATAATAAATCTTGCATAATCAGCACTTAAAAAAGGAAAACTATCCAACAACAAGAAATAATGTAATAAATAACACCGCTAAATAACCAAATAATATAGAAATAAAAGTAATACCATAGGAGATACCAGTTTAAACAAGTACTAAGCTGGATACCAGGGATATTGAGTAGGCTTTATACACCAGTCAGCTTCACTTGACTTGTCCTGAATAGCTTGAACTTCAGCAGAAAGTAGAAGCAAGTGATGAAATTTAATGTTATAAACCTAACTATAGCTAACTGAACCATTTTTCAGAATAAAGAATCATATTTTTAGTTTGTCCAAAATTATACAACAGGTTAAAATAGATTATATATTCAAGACTGATAACAACATCATCAGACTAAAACTAATTATTTGTTTATTAATTGTAGACAAACCAAACTTCAAATTTCATTCTGAAAGTAATACCATTATTGGAACTTTATTAATAGCAACTTTTGTCTATGAAATGCACCTTCCCATTCCTAAATTAAAAAAAGTAGCTTTTGACCATTAATATACAAAATGAAGAGTAAATAATGTTGGCACAATTTGAGTAAATAAATAAACAAAATGATAACAAATTTAAAGAATATTCAATAATAAACATTATACACATTAAAATACATATTTACAATTCTAGCTTGGATAAATAGGATATTTTTATTAGGCATAAGCCAACTTAATCTAACATTTCCATCTAAGGACATCTAAATACAAAATATAGAATTTTGAAAAATTACTCCCACATCCAAGTTAACATAATGTGATTATAACATGCAGTATGCAGTAGCATATTTAGCGGGTGGGTCATCAGGCCTTAAGAATAAAATATCTTTTCATTGTCTTAATGCTTCCTTTGTGAAATAAATCACAAGAGGTAAACAAATATTGAAAAGGGAAAACCCACTTGAAAAGTTAACCTACGACCAATCAATGCTGGTTTGCCCTTCACCAGAATATGCATGATATATGTTTAAGGGGGAAATTGTAATTAAAGTTTTGTTCTCCTAGATTCAAGGGCTTAAATATAATATAAATGCCAAAAATAAGTTGACTGCATAGCTGAACTTTTTTTTTCTGGACAGTCCCATAAAATGCACAAATATCTTTGACTTTAAATGTACTAATAATACAGCAACATGAGCAACATGAAATGTGACTAATAATATTAAATATATTCATTGTTCTAGATTTTGGCTGTGTTTTTTCAACCTATCACAGAATGATAACAAGATATACCATAGTCAGGAGGAGATATTTGTTCAATCGGACATCAGTCAACAATTTTCTATCAACACAAAATAAAATAATCCTGACATAAAGTATGATGATTTTGGCATTGGAAAAATAAAATACGTACTCTTATTAATGATATATAACATTTATACTTTCATTTATATATCAATATCATTTCTTTTTACTTGTCAGGATATTTCTTAGGGATGTAAATTTCTTGGCATGGCTAACTCAATCTGCACAATATCTAGCTATCACAAACTTTGTCTTGACTGCAATAGTCACTATTCATGTATCACCAAAGTCTGTAAATACAGCAATTTAATTGTTCGCTTTCAAATACTTTCAGAAAGTATGTAAACAATAAGCCATAATGTTTCCATACTTTCTGTAGAAGGCTCTGATTGGCAGTATATTTGCTGGCGTACTATCTAATGAAATAATTGCATTCTGTGATACAAGAATAGTGGCTATTGCAGTCAAGGTACAAGACAAAGTTTGTAATAGCTTGACATTGTTAAGATGAGCACAACTAACAAAATCCACAAAAACTTAAGGTCCTATGATTTCACAGTACTTTATTCCATTACAGAGTCTAATAACAAGATATAAATACTTAAACTATTTCATATAACTAATTATACTGAGTTACTATTACGTTTGATCATTTGACGTCTTTTCAGCCATTTTCTTCTGATATCGATTTTCAGCTGCCTGTAGTTCATTCTGAAGAAATGTCACAGTTTTTTGCAAACTTTCGCTTTCTGTTGTATTTCTTTCGAAAGCTTCTTCTAACTCTGAGAGTCTGGTATGTAACTGATTGTTTTCCTCTTCTAGTTTATCAGTAGAAGAACCAGTATTAGATAGTTTATTAGTCAATGACTTCACTCGATCCACTAAGGTAATGTTTTCGTTTCGTAATTTTTCAAATTCGCTGGTAGTTAATGAAATTTTCGTATTAAGCACTTCGTTTTCCTTCTTAATTCGATTCATTTCAGCAAGTTTTTGAGTGAGTTTATAATTTTCAGTTTGTAATAAGATCATGGAGGATTTGAAGCTAGTTTCACTGGTAGAAGATGTTATAGTATCAGTATGGGTTGATAGAGCAGCAGGTGATAGTTCATCAGATACTGGACCACTTGATAAAGCTGAAACAATTCATAATAATTCGTAAAGAGACATTCCGATGGGAAATTGATTATTCATACAAGCAATTTAAGTAATTGCATTGAATAGACTAATATCAAGAAATGGTAACTTTTTCTCCCATTGAACACAATTTTTAGGTTTTTGTTTAGGTTATCATAAACTTAAACAAATTGGTCTCCTTTTTAACATTTCTTCATCAATGGTGAGTTATCATAGGCATTCAGTCATTAGACTTTTCAGCAAACATATAAAATTACAATAGTCAAAAAAGTTGAAGATCATTACACATTTGGATGAATCCCTTAACAAATCTTATAATAATTAAGACTATTAACATTATAACACAAATCATTGATCAAAAAAGGATAGCAATCTTCACCTGCTGATGAACAGCATCAGAGAAAATGATCAGCAATACAGTAGAAAGAAATTGAAATCAACACTCAATATCAGATTATTTAACTTACCTTTTAACTGAAAGACACCATCCATATCTTTCTCTATCAAGAGTTTATTAATGTGAATATTTTGAGGAGGTGGAGTAGGAGCACCAACATTTAGAGTTGGTCTATCTTCCTGTAATACACGGGTCAAAGGTTTTAGTTTCTTAAAAAACATTCTTCAAAACACTTTTTGGGGTTCAAAGTTTCATCACAAGTGGCCTGATATAAAATTATGTTGCAAATTCTAGCCTTTTGCTAAAGCCTAATGCATTGGAAAAAGGGTTTTAAGTTGACAGTGTGAACTTAGTAACAGTTTAGTACGCGAATCATAACATTAGCGTTAACGTGCATATAGTCCAGAGCAAATATATCTGCATATCTAAGTCCGATTAAAAAATCAAATATGAGCAGTCCACTTTATTTTTGCAATCTGTCCCTAACATCTGTCATGTATTTACGATTGTGAAACTCAAAAGACACAATGTTTCAGGAATTAATAAGCATGATGAAATATCAAAAAATCATTATTCAATCTTCCGTAGAGGGATGTCATGTTAACAAACCAGTTGGAGAGAGGCTGTAGGTGTTTTAAGAGAATGATCTGGAGGAATTAAAAACAAATTACTTACAGTTAAAATGAGTAACAAATCTCTAACTTCAATATTGATTGGAATTATTTCAGGAACTATTTCATCTTCAATAAATTCTGTTAAAGCAGTTACACTGGACAGTTTTAAATCTAAGACCACTCCCTTCACCTGTAACTTGATTCCACCTTTATCAATCTTCCGTTCTGGACTAGATGGTTTACTACCATGAGGAGGTAGAGCTTCAGTAACATGTTCTAATTTTATGGGAAAATCCTTATGATCTTCATCTATTTCTCTTTTTTCAAAAAAACCTGGAAAAATCATCAAAAAGGATTGCTATGACAGGAAAGTTAAAAACAGGGTTGTTGATATTGCTGTTACTACTTGTCATTATGATAAGACATTAAAATGGGGAATGAATATTGGTTTGGCTCTTTTCAGTTTAAAATTCAGACATCTGGTTCAACTGCAATCAATGCTTAATATACCAGACGTTACGTCCCAGTTAATAACCTTCTCCAATGTATATATTGTTAATGTGACGTCATCAGTGATATCTATAACAAGAATTAAACATACCTCTACCAGCTAGTTTAACATGTATTTCTTCAATGGAAGTGTTACCATAGCAACAAGTTGATAATGATAATAATTGTAAACCAATATTACTAACTTTATCATTGCCATGTAGTAATAGTTGTAAATCATCTACCAAAAATACTGTAACATATACCTAAAATGACATATATAATATTGATGTCAATTCCTAAGATTTTGTTTACATTGTCATGTTACCTTTATTAGTAATAAAAGATTTTATTTTTTTTTAACTGAGCTGAATTATTTTCTGTTCTATAATATCATATAAAAATATCTTCAAAACCAGTCTTTAAATCAGCTTTATCCAGACAACAAATGTATAAATCCGTCAACATATTTTTGAAAACCATTATTAATCAATTGAAAATATTGACTTACACTTTCTTTAGGTTTTGTTGTACAACTTTCAGCATAAACACTAGAACCATCATCACTGTAAGTATCAGTAACTGAGGCAGTCTCAGATTGTTTATCACGAAATACTGGATAATCTTGATCATCTATCAAACTTAAACACACAAAATCTTCTTCTGAGATTTCAGTCGATATAGACATAGCATCATCATCAACAGAAAGAGTGTCATCATCCAGTTTGGATTTAATTTTGTCATTCAGAAATGAGAACGCACTTTTCACTTGTTTGGAATACTTAGCCATCTGACTACGATTATCCATAAACACACCAGAATCTCCACCAAAAGAACTAGCAGCATGCATCTCCTGATGATGAACCTCTGTGGGAATGGCATTTGTTGACGAAGCTTTTCTGGCAAGGGGATTAAAGTTAGTCTCATGGGAATCACTTTCATAATCTTCAACAGTAACTGAGATATGGTCATTGCTATTAGAAAAATCACAGGTTTCTAATGGCATGGCATGAATTGTGGATTCACTCATAGACTTGGTGATCATATGAGCATTGTCTTCTAATGATGATGTGGAATCTAAAATGGAAAGAAATACATTTTTTGGAAAAGAATATAAATGAATGACTGAAAGTGCATTTTACTTTTCGTATTTTGAGCTAATGAAAATAAACAGTGAATGTAGAAATTTTGCAATGATTGAAGTGCTTACTTGATTCCTCAAACGTTGAAGCAAGTCCATGTTCCCCTCAACTTGAATTACAGACTTTGGGTTCAGATACCATCATTCCAAAATTATATGCAAAGGAATTATAGTAACAAACCTGTAGTGTTTATAGATATTCTATTAGGTGCTGAATTAGAAGCTTGTTTTTTATGAGCCATGATTTTTACATGATGTTCTGGAGTATAAGGATTTCCATCTTTATTAGGACGATGTAAGGGACTGTCAAATTCCTCAGTAAACATCTGAAGATGAGCTAAATAAGGTGAAATAACAGCAACTTCAACAGCTGGTATTAACAATGGGATACAAAATGTAGTGGGTTCAGCATTAGCGAAAAGGATCATGTCACTAGCCAGTTGTGATTGGAACTGTGCATAGGATTCACTTAATCTCAACAGGAATAAATATTGGTAATGATTTATTTGAAGACTTATTTTGGCACCAATGTCTGCTATCACATGATTATCAGCCAGTTCCTTGTTATCACAGTTCTTCTGTTCCTCTTCATCAAAACTATAATATTGCTTTAATTTCATCTTTGATGGACGACTTTCTCGTTGTTGTTCTGCATTTGTTACACCTGATTTAGTTTTTCCACTTAACCAAATGGTCATGGGAAATGCTTCAACAAAAGGAACGGGTCTAGATTTATGATTATGAACTCCCAGAAAATCCAAACACACTGTATCGATATTAAGACACCAAATATCACACTCTGCTTTTTTCTTAAGTGTATTTGAATCTAATTTGATCGTCTTTGGTTTTTGTTCTTTATCGTCAATTTTTTTCAGAATTTCTTTAACAGCAGGTTGAATATAAGGATTATCTTTATTTTCAGCATGGTTTCTCAAAGTTTCTGGAATGATTTGAAATTTTTTGTTCCTATTTGGAAATGATTGAGTACAAAACAAGTCTCCCTGTTCATATTTATCTAATAGTTTTTGTAATGCATTTCTGGAAGATCGTTCTTCAATGCGTACATTAGTAGCTGTTACTTGAGACAATACTAGTTGAACATACTCTGGTCTTTCTGGCTGATCAACAACTTTAGTTTCTGATGGGATAATTATCTACAAGAAATAAAGGCAAAATCTAATGGTTTTATCAGAGCTCACAGATTGTAAAACGTGTCATATATCAATTGCTTTTGCAGAAAATGAATCTGCAAATATTTTGTAATAGTCCACCAATTTTGGTTGCTAATTTACGGTTCCAGTTAACTGATAACGTAGCCTTAGACATCTTTTAATGTCTTTAATAATCTTATGCTCAAATTAAACACTTACCCTTGGCATTATAGCTTCAACTTTTATATTCATATGTTCACTTGGCTCTTCAGATTCCAGCATATCATAATCCTGTAAATTATTCAAAATGGTGAAATGTAGTGATACTTCAAATATTAATGACAAAGAGGTGATCATCAAGTAAAAACTAAGCTGATACCAACAGCATAGCATGTTTACTTTAGATAACTCAATAACCTTGCTTACAGGGTCTTTGTTGATAAAATCTACCCAGGAGAACTTGGTAAGAGACACAACTGACTTTATGACTAAAGTGTCATATTTGGACTTGCTACTAGAAATGGTTAACAATCATTTTGTGTCAAACTGTATAACAGGATCCATTATGTGCAGTAACATACCTCAGTCTTTTTGGCCAGAGGTGGAGTTTTGACTCTTTTCAAAAGATCTGATGGTACTTCTCTTTGGAACTACTATGCAACTTTTAGTCTCGATTTAACCATGCTTGTACAGATTTTGTTTCAATTACTTACCACATTTTGAGACAGATCCATAAAGAAATAATTAGCCCATAATAATGTAGTAAAGTCTACTGTTAATCTAATAGGTCTCAATACAACATATAGATTAGCATCAGGTACTGAAAAGATAATTAAGGAATTATTTGAATTAATTATTTTTTATTTTTGAAATACAATTGCCATATCTACGAGGCTGGATCATTCGATAAAAACACCCCTTATTTCACAAATGTCTCTTTTGCTTATGCAGACTCATACTATATATATACAAAAAAATGCAAATGAGGAAGAGTTCAATAGAAATTTAAGGGGCTTCAAAATGATGACAGATACTATAGCCAAGTATAATTGAACCAACTGTCCTTGCAAAATTTTACCCATTGCACAGTGCTTGGTGCTGCTTTAGCAGGAAGTAATATTTCTTTTTCATCATCTTAGGCTTCCCAATTGTTTATATGATAAAGATCATACCTGGATACTGCATTTCCTCTGGGAAGAAATAATCAGTATATTGTAAATGGATTAAAGATGTACAGGTATCAGATGGTAGGGGAACTTGTTTATCTGCTGCTAGGAATTTATGTAATGTGGATTGTTTAGTTGAACTAGTAGAAACCATGTATACTGCTATATCTTTTACTTTGACTACACAACAACTTTCTAGTAGCTTAGTTTGTTTGGATTTGGCTGGTGACTGAGGTTGTCTTGCAGTTGATCCTGGTTTAGTTTGTCTTTGGTTAGCTAGTGGAGTGACTTGGGCACTAACAGCCATGCTTTTAATATTAACAGCATCTTTCTTAAATTCTGCAAATAAGCCTTGAACCCAGGAATTTCTGGTACCAACAGTTTCATAATTATGCCATTGATCTCTCTCACTGCCTGTAAAGAAGAAAGAAAATATTGTTGCAAAATTCACTTGTGTCCTTTATGAATGTTTTTTTTTCAGAAATACATTTTAACAGCAAACTATGTCCTCTGATCAATAGAAACATGTTGCAGAAAAGTAGGACGTAAAACTCTGTTCATTTCATTTTCTGATCAATAGAAATAAAACATTACAATTTAAAAAAGGTCAAATGCTACATGTAAAGCCATACAGTTGACAAAATCATACAATAGAACTAAAAATATACCTGATCATTTTAATGTACTAGAGCCAATATTAATAATACATAGACAAGGCTGCTGATTTGACTCTAATTGCCAGTCATATCTGATAAGTGATCTGACCAAAATCTTTTCAAAACACTTTAATCTGTAATTTTGCTACCTCTGTGATTTTCTTATTAGATTATGCAAGTATTTGACATATTCACTTCAAAAAATGTATCCAATACATATAATATATTTCAATATACAGATGGAAAACATACAATAATCTGACCAAAAGCAACCCACAACCTTTAGGAATAAGGGAATCTGCAAAAATGTAGTTATTTCAAATCAAAAGTATATATTTAGTTTATTAATTTCAGTCTATGAATATTATTCTGTATATGTGTATATATTTTTCCATCTTAAATTATTTTACAATTAAATTTAAATTATTTTTATTTATAGAGAAAGTATAATATACAGTCTGATCTTTTGCTTATCTTGGCTTATGTTTAATATTTCAATCTTTAAATTTTTAAATAGAGAAAATTATAAGTCTATAGTTATTATTAAATATATTATAATACAGTGGTTTTGTATAGAATTCATTCCAATATATAATATTAAAATGCATGTAGTGCAAAAAACAAACCAAAAAAAAAGATGCATTTTTCACAATTTGGCCCTTTGATAATCCTGTGTAATATATTCAGGGCTCTCTAGGTCTAACATAATAATTATCCTGTAATCACCACTATTTTACTAAAACAGAATCACCCCCTAACGGTTTCTAAATGTTTGAAGTAGGAAGTGGAATTAATTTCTTAATTAATGATTACCAATGCTAGCATTACAGCATAAAATGCCAAAAGTCTTTAATTACAGGAAGGGAACCCAATATCCACAACAGAATAAAGAAATAACATGCTTAAAACAAACACCGAAATCAATATCAAAATAAGATGATAAAGTTAGTTTACTACAGGTAGAATAACATGTATTCACCAACGTTCACATCTTAATGTGAACAGACACATGAACCCAAGTACCAACAATATAGTGTTCACATACAGAGATGTAGGAATATAAAAAGGGATAAGCCATAAACAGGAAGGAACAATATGCCAACAGATTTGAGTACCTATTACTCACCATCCAATAAAAATAAACAGCGTTTTTCAACATCAAGTTCATGAAAATAGCCTGAATAATCAGAGAAAGTGTTTTGTTGGTCAATTTCCATGTTGGAATTAGGGACTTGCAGGATATTTCAAAAGAAATGCCAAAATGAATTCCACTTTCTTTCACGTCCAATCGTCAATTATTAAGACTTAAATATCTTAATAGTTTGAAAGTATTTGAAATCACTAGAAAGTATTTGTTGTGGGTTATTTTGGCATTAAGTGCAGCTATAGAAATTGATTTGAGATGTAAGCTAAGAATCAAAAGCTATTCTTCTAGATATAAAAAAAAAGGCACAAAAAGGGGCATCACTGCAAAAAGGTTAAATAAAACAGTTTAAAAGAATTCTATTTAGATTTACCTGCAGGATGAAAAGGATAAAAGTCCATACAGAATTTATATACTGTTATCTGCATAGAACCACCTTCAATATTCCATAATCTATCCTTATTGCCTACAATAATATAAGAAGTTTAATGTTGATGATTAAAATCAAATGATATATTTAATGTTTACACACCTTGCAGAAAAGAAATGAATACCTGCAATAGATAATATTACTATATTCATTCTTAATGGAAATTCAATTCAAGACTCATCTCAAATACAGCTTGAAATATCACCGGTTCCCATACTGTTTTAATTCATACTGCCATTAGTTCATGTAATAATGATAAAACAAATATAAATATCATTGCTTTTAAATTTTTTTTTTTATCAGGTTCTTGATGCAGTGGGCCTTAATGTTTACAGAAAAAAGAGCAGCACAAGAGAATCTTGTTATGGAAGCAGAGTGTCTTACCTTTATCTACAAATGGCACTCTTCAAAAAAAAAGGCAGACAAAGGAAGGTGACTGACTGAGTTACCTTTTACAAGGCAAAATGAATTGGAGTTTTTACTTTTTTGGACGTGTTTGAGCTTATGAGAAAAGACAATACCAAGAAGTGTGCAATGAATGACATTTTTTCTAGTATTCCGAATTCCTTTATGTGCAAAGCCCACCTCCCATCTGAACGAGCTTTTTACAGATAAGTCCTTCCAACCAATTGTGACAGGTAGAAACCTAGTCACATATTCTCTAAATGATCTTAGGGCTAGGATGTCCTAGATTCTTATCTTCTAACATTGATTTTTGGACATCGTCGCGTAAAGATCGTTTCAAGAATATGTCTGGTTGTAAAATTCGAAGGTATTAGGTCAAGGTGGAGATAAGTGCACCATCATCTCGGTCACTGAGCAACTACAGCTCCCTTAAGTAGATGAATACAACTAACTTACCTGTAGTATTGGTACTATCATCACATAAATGTAGATTTATAGGATTAATAAATACATGATAAGATGTAGATTTAACATCATAATATAATGGAGGAGATCTGGCTGGTGGTGGCTGTGGACCATGACTAGGACTTAAAGTTTGTGGTGATTTATCTTCTGCTAACTTTGGTTTTTGGTGTGTTTGTTGCTGCAAAAGATCCATAGAAACATTATATTTTTCGGCTGGTGTCAACAGCAAAGCATGGTATTCAAATTAAGGTTTGATGTGCCAGTCATCCAATTGACACCCCTCAATTTTTATTGAACTCTTCCACACATGCATACTTTATATCAATATGAATCTGTACATCTATGACTGGAAGAGCTTATTAGCAAATTTAGGGGTGTTTTTTGTTATTTTGTTGTCTGTCAACATTTAATCAAGTTTTGATGCTTATCCTTCAACAAAACAAGAATAACATACTTTTGAATCATTATCTTATTATGAAAAAAAGAAGGCCCAATATTTGGTAGCAGAGTTTTTAAAGAACAATGATAAAAATTGTAAGATGCACAACCACTAAAACCAAGATTTTCAGTACCTGTAATTTTTCAGCAGCTCTCTGTTTACTCTGTGCTGATGAATTTTCTATTATCTTAGATAGTGAATTAGCATATAATATAGCTTCTTTTAATTGTGTTTTAGTTAAAACCCAGAGTAAATCATCTAGATACAGTTGTAGACGGGTAGCTATAATACTGGAATCTATAAAATACATGAAAATATGGCATCATTTTCCTTGGACAGTTGTGTTAAGATTAACTATTAACTGTTTAGAACTTGTCTCTTTTTTGTGCCAAATAAAGTTTTTCATGTCATGTTTTTCAAGTGTTTCTAAGATTATTCTTCAATTTCAAGCTCTGCTATAATAAGCTGTTTATTGGATCAATAATATTGTCTAGCATGCTCACAGTGACCACTGAACACCTGATGTCACTGTCTGACGCTTTCCAAAATTCAGCTTCAGGATAGTTCAGTAATGGTTGAATATTAATTTAGTAATTTCTTTCCCAGTCCAACATAAATCTTCACAGCAGCTTAGTCAAGTCAAATGAGCTAGATATGTTGAAGTTAAACTTGATGAGTTTTAAAGCATAGAAAGTTATTAAATCATACCTGCAATCTTTTTCTTCATAGTTATTCTAATTTTAGCCTGGTTTGCTATTAATCTTAATGGTGAAGAAAAGTCTGTGGTGCCGATATCAACAGAGGAAGCATGTATCCTGGTATTCTGCCATTCTATTTCTTTAAATAATAATATGGCATCATTTTCAGTATCTTTTGCTCTGGAATCTCTGAGGTTTTCTGATGGTTTCCAACGTGGTGTCATACTTTGAACTGTTAAACGAGATAGCTGAAATAATAAGTTGAAAAATTGAGTTATTTCCCTTTTGTTGTGGATATCACAAGGGTCTTGTTGTTAGGTAGTTAGTAACTTTATCAGATCAGATCAGTACCCTACCATTGCAAACACCAATTAGCTTTTGGTTAAGTTATTCTACATTCACAGGAACCACAAATACTGGACAATTTATCTAGTCGAAAAATTCCAAGTTTTCCAAAAATAGGGTCAAAAAAACAATAATTTTGGATTCTTTTAAACTTTTTCTTAACTCTATTCTTTGCATTTCTTATTTTGATCACCATAAAATTGAATGTTAGTCCATATTGCGATACATATCGTATCATGACCTTTGTATCGCGATGCGTATTGTATCGTGGCATGATTTGCGATACCCAGCAATGGCTCAGCAACTTAAGATGCATGTCTGTTCACCAATTCTTTCAGAGTTCCATCCCTGCTTTAGTTCAAATGATAGCTTCAGATTTCAACTCAATTTTCTCGTTTTTGATAAAGTTCTAAATGCACTGACAAAAATTCCATCATGGCTATCTGTAAGAGATTGCCAAACATCATTAGCCATTTCTGGAGTAGTAAAATAAGCAGAAGCATGCCTGTTTCACTATACAGAAACAATGTAAATTGATATATATGTCAAAAAATGACATTTAATAACTTGAAAGAGACAAATTACTTCATAAATAAACAATAACATATAATATTTTGTTAATTTTTCTGAATTATTTATCATTTTTGATCTCATTATTTCATAGCTCAAGGGAAAGAAAAAGGTCATACTAGCTTATTGTTTTTATCTTGGTGAATATCTTGGTTGTCTGTCTATTTACTCATTGATGCATTATGATCATTATTAGACAGTCACAATAAATCATAATATACATATCATTCAGGATATCTTACATTCAGACACTGACTGACTATAGGTTAAAGAGAACCAGCAATATCTAGTGCCTGATTAAATGAAGAGGAACAAGATTATGCAATAGGTGAAATTTTGGCAGGACAGTGACAATATGTTATCTACTCCTTTTTCATTTCAATAGATCTTTGCCTACATAGCCTGCAACACAATCTGATGATATCATCAACATATGACCAGACCTTCAGGTTATTGAGCGATCCTCTACCACTGCCATTTCTACACCATACTTTTCTGTTTCATACATGAGAGAAAATTTCTTTTTTTATCTTCCAGTGTGTGGGATCCTGAACATCCACAGCCTGTGACATAGTATGTAGCACAGCTTGCATTAGACTGTCAATAAGAGACTTGAATGATACATTTATGTAATAAAAAAAAAATATCACATATATATTCTTTGTCCAATCAAATAAACCGACAAAACATAAATAAATTAAAAAAGTGTATATATATATTATAACAATAAATAAACAATAGTGAATATATAATATAGTATAATATATATCTATTATAATTGTACACCTCATAAAACACTGTATATATATAATATAATATATAATATCAATAACTGACAGCTGGTAGACTGTGGTTAACCTTTATAGATTCAGGTCTTTCAATATCATATTATGATAATATTGCCTATATATTGGACATACTTCCGTTGTATTAGAGAATGTGTGGGGTAACAAATAGAGAGGGTTTTGCATCCTTCCCTTGATTGAAGAAGATGTTCAGAATGAGGGAAACTTTACCATACATGAGTGCCTACTCTCCAAACATTCAATTGATTTTTAACAAAGATAGTCTGTACCAATCTTCACAATGTCAAGCTATTACTGACTTGATCTAATACCTTGACACCATGAGGCATTTTTCTTGTATCATTGTTTGTAAATGATTGATTGGATTGTATGCTTGTGAATACATCCAATCAGAGGCCTTGACACAAAGTATGTCAACAAAAAGCCATAATGACATGTTTACAGCTTTTCTGTCAAGAGCTCTGATTGGCTGTATTCACTGGCGTACAATCCAATCAAATTGCTGCAGTCTATGAAACAAGAATAGTGTCATAGCAGTCATAGTATAAGTTCATGATAGCTTGACATTGTGAGAAGTTGTTTTGTATGTAAGCTTACACACCTTTCCATGCATCACTGACAAGCGAGTTTGAAGTAGTTACGTTAATAAAATTCAACATGAATTACTACTTGATACAAGATAAAAATGTGAACAATAAGTATATAAGTATTCATATCAAGAAGTGATATCATTATCATTATATCATTAAGTTATCTATTGTTATCTTAATATATTATGATAGTTTTAGTTTTAGTACTATCATATCACATCTTAGTATTCATATTTCATAGTTATACCAGAGGTCATGAAGGGTTAAAGATTCAAATCAGTTCAAAGAAGTCAAATTTCAATATTAAAACAAGTGGTTGCCTATCAAGATACGCCCACTTTCCTGATACATTTTCAGTATATCAAGGGTGGTCACCTATCTGTGTCAAATATCTATTTGTGCAAGATATTATTGATTTAAACAAACACACATTATTTAATAAAATTCTGACATAAACTGTCACCACTATCACCAAGAAATTCAAGGGTAATAACTCAAATTCCGATGATCAAAAAATGATCAAATTCAATCTTGAATAAGATCTCATCATCATAAATGATCATACCAAATTTCATTTAAATCGGATGAAATTGTGGTCTTTATTGCGTTCACAAACAAATTTTGATGCGTTTTTCGTAAGTCAAGGGCAATAACTCAAAAAACCATTATCAAAATATAGCCAAATTCAAACTTGTGCAAGATCTCATCATTAATAATATTCACACCAAATTTCATTTAAATTGGATGAAAACTGTAGTCTCTATTACATTCACAACCAAATTTTGACACATTTTTCATAAGTCAAGGGAAAAAACTCAAAATCCTTTCATCGAAAGATCATCAAATTTGAACTTGTCCAAGATCTCATTAATATAAATGATCACACCAAATTTCATTCAAATCAGATAAAAACTGTTGTCTCTGTTGCGTTCACAAGCTAATTGTGGACGGGCCAAGCTACGGACGGACAGGGGCGACGACAATATACGACCACATTATAATGTGGGCATATAACAAAATTAACCATGAGGATTTCCTTTTTTTTTCAGAAATCCTACCAACAGTTCTTCATACAAATCATACACAGAAAGTGTAATGGTGACAAACTTTCTAAAACCCTTCATCCCAAAACCACATACCTCTTAGAATTACTAAAAAATCATTTCAACGAATATTCACATTTCATCTACTTCACCAATTTAGAGTTATCAGTTTTAGATATCTTTAGTTACCAAACAAGTTTAGAGTTGTCATTATAAATTTTGTGGACACTTTTATTCTCAAGGTTGACAAAGTGAACAAAGACCAGAACAATTCTGAGGAAGTTAAAGGAACAGGTTTGCCATATGCTGAGATTGATTTGGGTCTTGAATATATGTAAATAGTCTTCTATTATTTGAAATGTATAAAAATCACATAATTCCTTCAAAAATATCTCAAACTTTATATGTCTATATAATGTCTTTTTATATATATGACGAGTCATCTTTTTAACTTTCAAACGTGGATAATTCTGGACACACATGGATTTCGACAGTGAGCTGTGATCGCTACAACTGATTAGCTTAGCTAAAAAAATGCTGTTTCTGAGACTAAGGTATGATTGGTCAAACAGATGGCAAACCTGTCCCTTAAAGTCTATTTTTCTCATTATTTGTATCAAATTTAACAAGATTTTTGGTCAATCATCCAGAGCTATATCAATTTATACTAATTAGTTAATGTCACTATCAGTCTATATTTATAAGCGTTTAGCTTTTAGAGTTGTATTAAGAAACCTAGATTAAGATGAATGGTGAAAAAATGAAAGAATGAAACAGGAAGTCCATTACTCACCTCTACAGAAGCTTGAAATGTTTTTGAAACCAGTTTAACTAGAACAGAATTAATCCGAACAAAGATACCATCAATAACTCTATCTATAAAACCATATTTACCATGATTCCTATAATATAATATAGTCAATAAATTAATTTTACAATGATTCATGGCTTTAAATTTAATCCTCAGACAAAGATTTTATCAAATTCTATTTTCAGTGCATATTTATGTTTAATCAATTAAAGCAGTCTTGGACGTAGATTTCTTTCGCAGACTTAAGTCGTGAGTAAAATCTCGCATGTGCCTGTGCTTTCATGACAAGATGATCGCATCCCCGACAGGACAAGTTTGATAATTGTCTCTGATAGTTTTATTGCCTGCAAGACAAACCGTCATTATTCAATCAGATTCACTTTCCTTTCAATTGCATGCTCTGCATGTGATTATCGACATGGTGGAAAATAACCGACTTCTCTACTCTAGTCGGCGACAAAAATCTCTGACCAAGACCCCTTATGATATATTACCTATAACTAGAATTGCTATCATTTTCTGTTTTAGGTTGTTCTCTTGGTGTTTCACAAGTTTCCATCTCTACAATGATCTCATCTAAACACTACAAATAAACAGAACTGAACGTTAAGGCACAAAGCAATTCGCAAAATCTACCACAAGAGATACAATTTACATGGTACATTCCAGTACCGTACAGTAAAGTATGGTATTTTTTGGGCAGCAGAATCCATGATGTAATCAATGTCACTTTCTTGAATCAGTACCATATTATTCATTGACGCCATGAAGTCCAAGAATAACAGGAAGTTTCGTTTGTTATGTGTTTCCTGGCAGTCTAACTAAAATTAGACCAAATTTTCGAGATAAAAACAACCCCCACCAGCTGTCAAGACCAGCTATCCCTTACACTACCGTAATATTTCAAATGATTTGCATAATAAATCAGCTTTTATCAAATAAACTTTATTAGCTATGTGGATTTTCCAAATAAGTTCAAGAGCCCAGTTGCTCAGAGGCATCAGGTGTCCAGAAAAATGAGCTGCTAGAATTCAATTAAGTTTAGGAAATGCAAAATCTAATTTCACCCAAATTAGAGGACGCAGTATTATTTTCAATAGACAATAACATTAGTGCTTTGACAATGATATATCAATAACCATGTACTACTGGACAATATAAACTATATTAGATCATGTAAGCTTATAAGTGATATTAAACACTTACCAAAACAATAGGTTGTGACTTTAATTTTGTCCATTGTATCTGAAAATAATAAAAATCTATTAAAGATTCTATATAAGCAACTGTGTGTTGTTTTTAGCTGCCATTTTTTAGGTGCTGTAATATAAATTTGAAGCTAAGAATTACAAAAAATACCATCTATGGGGTACCAATATTTATTTTTATACGGTATTATAAGATCATGTAAGGCATTACATATAATCAAAAATAATTTTAGGATCTCTCCCAATTGACAAACCCATTAGACGCATGTATATATGCACATACAGTATTCATTCTCTATATAAAATACATAATTCATGTATTCAGTTAGATGTAGGCCTATTCAACTTTAGGTGTCTGATGTAGTTTATTTGAGGTACTTTATTCTATACCTCATATGAAAAATAAAACTTTATTTTCTACTATGTCTTATAAATATGGTACTCAGTATTGATGGGTGGGACCAAAGGCTGACATCCTTTAACGCATGAGCCTTATTCTTTAGTAATGCTCAAGATGGCATCAGGATAACCTCTATATATTATATAGTATACAGATAGTATTTATTTTGTGAAGAATGTTAATTCGTTTCACTATCAATTTGAGGTATTTTCTTGCAAGATTTACACTCATTTAGCAGTTAGATATGAAAAGATAGATGTAGACATTAAAAACAGCCATGGATGATATAGTCTATACATATGGTTAATAAAAAGTAAATTAAAATCTGTATTTAATATACTTTCTTTAATTGTCTAACATCTGTTACATACACACCCTTGACTCTTGTATCAGATGTTTTATAATGATGATATGTCTTCAAGACAGATGGTTGAACATGCTGTGTGGGTTTTCTCCACTCCACCAAAATTTACTGACTTATCACACTGGGTTAAGTCACTTATTCATTTGATTTTCAAATCATTCTCTTGAAAATTTCTTTAAGATTTTTTGAAGACTATAATATAAGGGAAGATTCTAGCTTCTATTCAGACCAATCAAGTTTCCCATCTGGTGATTCTTACATCTGAGAAATTCCAGATAAAAATTGACCAAATCATAACATCACTGTCCCAAACACCATTCAATTAATATGGGTTTTGCAATAATAAGATCTGTTTTTCTTTCTTGAATCACAGGTACATAAGACATTTAAGCTCACCAGCTCACCTCAAGAATCCAGAATGATGTGATGAAATATTCCCATACACAGAGAGACAGATTTGCTATTTTGGGGGTTAAAAATGTTAATTATATGCAAAAAGAACATAATGATATGATTACAAGAATACATGGTAATTAATTCGAAACACAAATCAATCAAATAGTTTGCTTAATTTAACACAAAAAACCAAGGAAACCTATCTTTTAAGAAAAGACAGTTCATTTTCTTAATTCACTATGCATGGAGACTTAAATTTTGGTTGTGAGCTGATAAGTTAAACAGATAACAAACCTGTCCCTTCAATTAATACTTCTTTTGACTCCTATTGATCAATGACTAAATGATAAAATGTCATTAGACTTTGGTAGTCCAGTCTTGTCCAATTTCTCATTCTATCTAAACAGCTCCTAAATCACACATTACTGACGTTAGAAATCAATACTAGGTGATATAATATTTATTCAAGAAAATTCTTTTTATATAAAGTAATAAGACTATACAGTTTGGATAAATATTTGACTTATAATATGAATGATACAATTTGCATGTTTTCCAATGACATTATAAATTCCCAATTTCATACTTCCGATATAACATCTTCATCAGTAGAGTTGGAGCCATTGTGGAGATGATCAGGGTGATTTGCTTTGACTCAAATAATATGCTATAGTACAACCTGACCAAAGTACAGACCAAAATATCTTTGCTGTGTGGGTGGAGAAATAATCATACATTTGACAATTCTTTTGTTGTAAGTGATACATTTTAAGAGCAAATTTTAAAACCTTGCCCAAATTTGTTTTTACCTAGTCTTACCATTTAATATACTCATTGACAAGAGTTTTACTTTGTTTCTAAGGAATAAAATCTACAAAATATCTACCAATTTCTTTTTTGTAAGTTGTCCCTTTAATTTCTCAGTTATTATCATTTAAATAATTATTGGACTATTCACAGCTTAATGGAAAACTGTAATCTTTAGTAATTATTAACCACACCTAATATTGATACATCATATTTAACCTGCCAACATTAAACTTTAAATCATAATTTTCTCTCTCCCATTCACTCATGTCATTTTGACCTTTCACTTGAAAAAATGAACAGTTGAATCTACACTGACATAAGATACTGCAACGCTTGAGCATTACAGGCTACCCGCAAAACCTCTTGGACAAAAATGTCTGGAAACAAGAATTTAAAGAGCAGACAATTATGCTTTTCTAAAAGAAACAATTTATGAAAGCAATTAGTGTTTCTGCTAACAAGAAATCAATTATCTCTTTAGGCTAAGCATTGTGGTAATCTTTTAACAAGCCGACTAATTAATAGTATAATATATAAGATTTCAAAATCAATAAATACCAGCCAAGAATCAGGCCTTGTCAATTGTCAACCACAGAACATCAACATTTAATTAAAAAATAACCACAATAACACCGTTACTGTCATATTAACTATAGGTATAATCAACCAAATCCAGATATTTTAGCTTATAAATGTACAATTGAGAAACTTTTCAAAGTCTAAGCAAGTAAGGTCTATTATGTTTTGGGATTCACTAAGATATTAGCAATCATGTCCGAACCACGCCCCCGATTAGTCATACTTACTCAAGACTGATGAATACAAATTACGTATTCATAGCCAAATAATGTCCAATCGAAATAGGCCCTAAAATATTTCTAGTGAAATGTAGAATTGAGTAAGATTTTTAGTACAGAATTGAAGTTAACAGAAAATCAAAATTTGTGTTTTGTCTCTATGACGTTCTCCCCTTTTTCATTTCAGTTCTACCATAACCACACTCTGATTGGACAAATATAAATATCACCAGTCTCATTTCCACGTCTACAAAACAGGCTTAGTTAAAAAGACTAGGTTTGACCTTGAATAATTCACCTTCACTCATAATTCCAGTCCACACAGCTGTAAATGGGAAAGATCTTGGAAAGATCAATGCAAAGAGGTTTGGTCAAGGACCAGTTGGTAGAAAGGATCCTAAGTGATCTTAAGTTGTTATGTCTTATTTATCATTAAATGTGTTATTCATGTTTTCCATGCAAATGAAAAAGTTTCAATTGTGCTCAAGATGTGATAATGATTAGTAACTCAGTTTCAGATACAGAGTGTCCACACCACGACTGAATTAATCCATTTTTTATCTTGTAATGCCTTATTAACCAACAGCTGTGTAACTGTAGATAATAAAAACTGATGTTAGTAAGTGAATATGATATTAGGGTATAAAATATTTAAGTCTCAATATTAATAAAGTGACATTTAACAACTGACAGCTATATTGATTTTTGACCATACTCAATTCCCCTGCTTCAGTTTCACATTCTTCTTAATTCAGTTGCTTAAAGGGAATGCTGAGACTTATCGTGTACTCTATACAAGACCAGTAGGGCTGGCATTCTGGGATGAATTTGTTTCTGGTCCTCTTCTTCAACAAGATACCGTACTAAATTTAATAGATCATCACTAACAATATAACTTGGTGATGCCATAAATTCTAACTATTAAGCCGCCAATAAATGCCAATAGTCCTGATTCCAGACTTGAGCCATAACAGAATATCTATCCATACATTTTCAGTGTGTTGTACTATGAATGCATCCATAACATATCTATTAATTAAAAATAACCTAAGTGGACATTCTGAAATTGAATAACCGATCATGCTTTTGAAGAGTTGGCATGTCCGGTCTTGTTTGCGACAGTTTGCCACCGGAGTTCTTTTTTTCAGGAGAGAATTTCAACCAAACTTATACAAAATAAAGTATCATAGCTAAATGTGTTATTGTTTAGTTCAGTGGCAATTCCATGATGTCCACTAAGCTGATAAAGCCATATAAACAGACTTTAAGCCATAAATCTACTGGAAGCTCTCTAGGGAGGAAGGAAGGATTAAATAGATCAGAAGATAGTTAACATTATTCTAGATAACACATCATTTATTAATATAATAATATCTTTATCTAGGACTGATTGAAATGAAGTCTTTATTACATTACTTCTCATCAAATCATTATAGTCCACCATGTTTACTTCATTATTATTGTACAATATTAACAGCAAGGTGCCAAATGAAATTCGATTCAATGAGTTTTACATACTTCAGACCTTATAGACTACAGAGAAGACATTCCTCTTAGAGAACTGATGACAGCAATTATAGCATAAATCATGCAAATAACCAAGAATGAATTGAAGTAACCAAACATTATGTACTCCAGTCTTGGTTATTTCTATGAATTGATAACTTTTCTATAACATCACAAATAGAAAACTGGGTTAAAAATTTCTAAGCCTCAGAAACTGAATGTGTTTCTGCAGCAACTGGAAGTCCTTGAAAGATGACCTTGAAAAAGGTCAACCTTAATATTCCAGTAGACCAAGTCAAAATGGGATCATCTGTAAAATAAGTAGCTGCAGATTTGGTCCTTAACCAGTACGTAAGATAGAACCTATATAGAATGAATTGAACCTTGTCAATATTTCTTTCCTTTTCTTGAATAAACTCATCTAGTTAGCATATTATGCATTTTTACACTTGGTTTTAAACCAAAATTTATGTTAATGTGTCTTCCCACATCACTCCTTCTCAATTCTCTCTAAAAATTATTCCCTTTTTGCGCCTTACCATATCACCCCTTTCCCAATTTGCCCCTTTCCCGTTTTGTCCATTTCTACATCCATGGCCTTTCTCTTTAAAAATATTATGATATATTGATGTGATATTGTCAAATTAGTGCCTCACTTTATAGGTCACACTTTATGAGAGTTGACATTTGTCATAGTGAAAATTAACAAAATTGTCGATCCAATAATGTATTGGAGCAACTTTTGACAATAAATGACAATATCACATCCAATAAGCACATATCACATCCCAGGAACAGGCAGTGCCAGATTTGTTGGGCTAGTTAATCTACTCTGAAACTATCTTTTGGTTTTAAACGGTATTTCTCTAGTCAATAGCCCAGATATTATATACCGGGTACTGTAAATTACTTAATAACTATATATTGGTAACACACTGTTATCTGTCTGTTTCAATAACTAAATACATGACTCTAAAACCATTAACTTATTTATATAGTCTTTAGAGTTTAAAGTTAAATGTCACCTGGAGAGCCTTTTATATAATGAGCCACTAAGTTCTTTCATGTCTATTTCTCTTTACATAGGTATTTAACTTAGCCTAATGAAAACATTAACCCTTTTATGCTATATCTTAGTTTTACTCTTGATTTTTACAAAGGCAACCATTTCACTGTCATAATTTAAAGGTGTTTCTGGTTTTCATTGACAAGGTCTTGGTACTTAGATTTAAATATTATAGTAAAAAAAATTCAAGATTTTAAAATCCATAAGAATAAAAAATAATAAAATAAGAATATTTTTCCCGAAATGGAATTTGTGTACACATGTGACTTAATTCAGTCTCATTTTGGCCTGAGTCCAAGAATAATAACATGAATTGAAATGGGGTGGAATATTATTCTTCCAATGGAACTTTCTCTTTAATCTTTAAAATAAGCACAAGATCACTAAATACTGACCTTTATTCCAACATGGTTACAGGTAGCCTTTTTGATGTTCAGCCATGTTGGTAAATCTAATAATTCAGTCAGGACATGTTCATCTAGCTCCAAATTACTCAATTCTCCCTCTCCTTTCAACGTACTCAAACTAATTTTATCAGTCGACAAATTCTTGGTGAATCTACAAAAAAAGTTAAAAGCAATGTATTTCAGGGAAGGGATTCAGCAAATTACTGTCTTTTTTTGTGTAAATTTTGAAGAAAAAGTCTGTAACTATACAGAATGACTGAGTCAATAAAAATGACTGAAAACATCATCATTTTTAATTGGAAATTCCTAGCTGTAGCAGACAAAGTTTATATAGATTTTAGATTTTCACTTCGAAAGTGATCAAGAGAGGTTTTGGAATGAAATTAAAGTGAAATGAAGGCTTTGACATTCATCTTAAATTGAATATCTATTAATTTATGTTAATCTCTTTAAAGAGATTGACTGATTATTTATAACCCTTTTTGTGATCTTATATTTTCTTTGATTTGCCAAAATTAAAATTTATCACAGCTTTACCTAAAAATCAAATCAAATTATTCCTATTGCTATTCCAGGATAAAAGAGGTTGCTCCACTCATTTTGCTATACATATGTTGATCTCAGGTCTAATAAGAGGTCATATGATTTGTGAAATTATAAAATCATGAGAGCAGGTATCAAAATTTTAATTGATTAACCAAAAATGGAAATTGGTGCAACAACTTGCTATTCAAATTTTCAATCGAAAAACTGATTTTTCACTAGTGATATTTTGTTTTTAAGAGATTTAGTCTAGAAATATTAAAACAGAAGTTGAATCATGTTGTTACTCAGAATTTAGAGCTTTAATGTGACCTATTCATTTAAGACAAATCATGTCTGATGAACTGCAGAATATGAAATGTATTCGTTATTTAAATAAGGCTGAAAATGAAATACTAAATATTCACCATGTAATGTTTTAAAGCAAAATCATTGAAAATTGAATAAAATCTGAATTCAGTGTCTAGATGTGAAATTTGAAAGTAACAATACTGTCTAATCTTATGATAGTTAAAAATCCAATTACTGAAAGGTTTCTTCTACTACTTAAAGACTAAAAGCTTTTCTTTTCAACCTTTCCTTTAATTGACATAACCATCTTTATTGGAGTATTAGAACTTTTTAAAGTTTCAACAAATATAAAGACGGATCTGAAAACCTATGAAATGCTGTGTCTTGAAAATATAAACACAGACAAAGTAATTGAATCTATCATCAGTAGTCTCTGGACAAAGTGGCACAATTTTTATAGTTTATTTTATGCCTTGGTCTAGTATTATATTAATCACTGCAGAAAACTATCAACAATTGTCTATTTGATAGTGTCTGTAAGGTGAAACTAGATGTTTCCGGTTCTGTTTTTTCTACGTCTCTACAAATGATGTATGGAGCACTATTTCAAAAGTGAAAATATTTTGTTATTGTATATAATATATATATATATAAGTCTGCAAGTTTAGAACTAAATTCATGTTAACTCATAACTGATACAATTAGTGATATAATTATATTACTTATGGTAATGTTAATAGAAATATTTGTGTATAGAATGTTCAATATACTAGATAACTTATTAATGGTTCTAATGTTAATTTCAAGCATTTAAAACTAACTATATAAGTTTATTCACCATAACAACGAAATAGACTGAGTAATCTTGTAATTTCAATTGTCAAATTTTCATCTGAATATATAAGCCTACTCATGTAAATGTAATCTTAATTTCTGAATTTTGCCTATTTTCATTAAGCTTATATTTCAGTTATATTTCTGCCTATCTTTTACTCAACATGACTGGATATGTTTCATAATGTAAGCTTATCTATTTTCTGATTACATTATCATGGAAATATTCTCTTTTATTCATTCAATGATAACAAGAAGAGAGAATTTTGTTATAAAATGAAATGAACTGGAATGAAACACCCTACTTTCCTGCACTTACTGAAGATAGGAATTTTAAAGAGATTGCTCGACAATGTCAAATTATAAAGCTTAGGTTAGTGAATAATCTTTAGAATCTATAATTTTCTAAGCAAGTTTGCATAATATGCTTTAATATAGTACCAGTATAATAAAATATGACGATATACAGTTTTTGAATTGAAATAAACACACAATTGCTTTAATTATGATAAAAAAATAAATCACATGATAACGTGCAAACAGTAGGTTAAGAGTCGATACAGCGATACTTATGAGTAAATGGTATAAGCTTTAAGTATTTTAAAACACACCATGTAAATTAGTGAATACTTTAATAGGCCTACTGTAAATTCAATAAGCTTTTATAACAGTAAATAAAAAAGCTCAAGGTCTCTGATGTTATTCAACAGGTTTGCAATTAGTGACAAGCAACAATGAACCTTTTGAAATCTATCTAGACAAATATTGCCAGTTTATCAATATTGTGTATGCTGATAACAACTAGAATTCCATACTTAATAGCCATCTAACAATTCCATGTTAAATTACTTTATGTAGTCTTGAGTGAACATTGAATAATATTTTCACCTCAAATTACAGCCTACACATTGTTATTTCAGTTTAAACTGTAGCTTTGCTAACTCCATTAAAATCTTGAAATTGCTCTAAGAGCAAATATATCTAAAGTTGAGTTTTAATTAGGTTTATTCCTTGTCAATACTAATGTTGATAACTATTACTTATTTCTATGTCAATTGATAAACAATATAAGCTTATACGTCCTTAAGTAGATCAATTAACAGCTCTTGGGATAGTGTCATCATAAAAGCAGACATCTGACTGTAAAATTGAAATGGTGCAAAATGATAATATCAGTGTCCCCAATAAACAAAAAAAAGTTACACAGAAAAAACCTCTTTACAACCGCTACAAAACATTCATCAATGTAGTTTATGAAAAAAAATTTTGGATTCACATAAAACCATTCAGCCAATACTATTGGCAATAGACTATATGTAGAAACAAAAGCAACAGGACAATAATATAGATCTATGTCTGTAGATATTATGTTTATAGATTTTTTTTCATTTTTCCTTATATGACTCTGACTCTGAGTTTCTGTTTAGAGTTTGATTTCACTTTTTAATTTTTTGACAATGTCAATGTTAAGGCCAATTAATTAGTATTTAATAGCCTAGATTTCTTCAATTATTAATCAATTATTTATTATAAGTTCACAAAGTGAAAATCAGTAACCATTCAAGCAATATAATGCAAGATTGGCTAGGAATACAAATGACAATATTTTTTGCATTGTCAGGAATTATTATGTGAATCTGTCAAAATAATAACAGTGCAGAGAGGTCAAGAAAACATTGACAACAAACGCAATTCTCTTTATCATTCCAAAACAATAAATTCTTTACTTACTTGGATAGATGTTTCAGTATTTGATTCTTTATAAGTGAAGCCATTCTGAATCATTATTTCGGGAACAACCACTGCTATTCCAGTTTAACGTCGTCTGCGAAAAATTAGCGTATTCAACAAATCGCCATTTTTGTGTCATATCGCCACTGTCATTGAAAATTTATAAACAATAGCTGCACGACATATGTTCTAACAATTAAGATCAATTAAGTATAGTTTTAATTAATTATCATCAATTGTTATACAACAAACACCAATCTACCCTTCATTTGTTAATGAAATACCCATTTCGCCCACTTTTTGTCAATGATGCAAACGACCTAGCCGTCAATATTTCAAGGGACATAACTCCTATTTGAAAATATAAAACCAGGCAATATTTGTTTTCTTCACTAAAATCTGGAATATTTCTAATAGCCTTTTTTGATTTATGCTAAATACGTAGAGGCTACTTAGCCCAAAATTGTCTATACTTTATGTAAACCTTTTTTCAGGGGCTGATGGTGTTGCACCATTATCAAACCGTTCAATCAACAAGCAGTCATTTGTACGATTTGTTTTGTAAATATGGACACACACAAGCAAACTATAAAGAATATATTATAAAGTGGGTTATTTTGTTCACTGCTTCACAAAGAGTTAAATAGTATGACGTGAACTTTTTATTAATAAGTGGGATATGGTTTCAAACATCAATGTATTCTCACCAATGCTGGCTAATTCTATATAGAAAAAACAAATACAAAGAATATTTGGATGATATTTAATTATGAAGAATGATGATATTTATGATGATTTTGTACAATATTTCATATAAAAATTGTTATTATTATTATACATTATTAATTTAACATATATTTTACTCTTCAAGATACAAAATACATAAAATTAGTACGATCTACAACAGAGATCAGAAATATATTTATAACTTTGACTTCAACTAGAACTTAATTTACACAAATTAAAAGGATTGTAAAGAGGTTTTCTAAACTTTTAATGAGTATCTGGGAGACTGGCAGGCATCTATTTGCCTCATTTTGATGTCGGTGGTTTGTGTAATTCCATCAAAACTGAAACTGATTTCACTATCCCAAAATCCCTTACATCATAAAATCAGATTTAGTGAAAGTGCATAGACCACTGACAAAAACTTGGAATGGTGCAAAGTGATAATCAGTATTTCCATTTTACACATAAAAGTAAAAAAAAATCTATTACAATCCCTTTTACACTAGCTTGGAGATCTATTCAAAATTGTTTACTCTTTTTACTTATACCAAAAAATAAATCTTTTCTGACACTTCTTTGTCATAAACCTTCGAATATAGCTATCAAAGGATAAATAAAATTCATTAAGTTCCACTTATTGTTAATCTGCACACAGACTTTCCCCAGTAATAACTATACCTTGACATATTTAGAGAACTACAAAATACCATTTTTTCAAAAAACCAAAACAACTGATTCTTTTATAAGGAAAATTGTCTGAATTCCTATAGCTGAATAACTCAGTAAAATATTCTATAATAAAATACAATTTGTGTAGGCCTACTTACAAAATAACAGACAAAACATATAATAATCAAAATTTGTGGTAAGAAAATTCTAAGAATGCAATATATAAGCTATAAAAGTAAGTTTAAAAAAGACATTTGGAATGACTAGAAAAAAGTGAGCAACAAGCGTATCAGTTTAGAGGCAGTTCTTGTGCTTATTCAGGAAATATTTGATATAATTTTAATTTTATGATTATTTTTAAGTTAATGTTAAACTGAATTCAAACTGTTTTCAGCTTTCATTCCCTAAGAAATTCATGGCAAGATTTATATTGACTACCAATACAATATTAATATACAGATTCAAGATTTACAAATCCCTGATTTAACATGATTTTAATATAGTGTGGAAGTCACATGATTGGTCAATAATTAAAATTGATTTTTAATGGATTTTATCTGATTGTGTGAAATAGGGACCACACATTCTCAAAACAATCTTAGCGCTAGGATGTCCTAGAATCAATGTTGTAGTCAATAAGAGGCAAGAAAATCCTAGCGCTAAAATGGTTTCGAGAATACATCACAATGATAATATGTGATCAGGCACTTTAAAGCCATATTCAGTAAAGTAGTTAATAGGAAATCAGAAGAAAAAATTGATTGTGAAGAGGTTTTCTAAATTTCGTACGTGTATAGTGACGCTGATAGCATCAATTTATACTAATCCAATTTTCAATCAGATGTTTGTGGTTTCTACAATTCCACCATGTTAGTTGATGTCTCTAATCGCAAACTGCCTTATGGGATAAAGCATAGTTTAAATAGGCTTAATCAGCAGTCAACTAGTGGAACGAGAAACTATTATTGAGTCTTATGACATTTTGTGAAGACAGTATGGATGTAAACCAAGAAATTCAAAATAAAAGTTTAAAATACTAAAATTAGAATTGATTAATATAAAATATAGGAATAACCAACAAAAATTATATTTTCTTTCAATAACCAACTTAAAATTTAAAATTTATCCCAAATAAGACTAGGCTAATGCTTTTTTTTCATTAAAACCACACACTTAGCCTAAAATTAAATATAGCTTGCCAGGCAAGGTAACATACGCCCACATAAAGCTTTGATTGTAAGTATTATGAAATTCGATATATTTACTGTAACGGATGACGGACCGACGGGGTGATTACAATATACGCCCATCTTACGTGTGGGCGTATAAAAATAGTAAAAGATGTAATAATAATAAATTATCTTCTAATAGTTTAAAATGTGGCAACTAAAATTCTGTGGTTAATATTTTTATATATCACAATAAATTTATCTAATTTGTAACCTTACATTATATAATATCATTATTGGTTGAAATCATCACAATTTTTTATATTTGAGACTGGATAAGGTCACTGAGCTGCAAAATTCTACCTTTTGACAAACTTATGATTTCTATGATTCAATGGAATTCAGATATTAATATATTGGAATTTTACCCCAAATTTTTTTTTGAGCTTTTGTTCGTTTTTTACAAAGAGTCTCTCATTGTTCATCACACATATTAAAATCATTGAGGACGAAATTTACATGAGATTTGAAACAAATAAAATTAGTTGTCTTATTTCTTGAATTTGAACAGCTCAGTTACCGTGATTTTGATTACCATTTCTTAATGCTCCTTAATTATATAATTCTTAAAAATAAGAATTGATACAGGAAATTTAAGAATTTATACAGGAAATAAGATTTGGATATAAAAGAGGAATTACAAAGATAAAATTTAACAACATCTAGTTATTACATTTATAAAGGCAATATTTTCAGTTTGGATGTGAATATTAAACTATAGAACATAATAAATCATACTGGTACATTTCACTTTGGTTTAAAATCAAACTAAATACTAAACTATTCCATTTCACTGGTCCATTCCTAAATTTCTGATTTTCACTTTAACTACATGAATTTCTTAAAATCTTGGTTAAAATTTTTGTGAAACATGCCTAAGACTCAAAATTAAAATGTTGGTCATTACATCTGCAAAACTTCTTTTAATGTCAACATGGTCATTATTAAGAAAATGTTTCATATTTCTTACCAATAATTACTAATTCTGCAAAAGACATTTAAATTCCAAATAGAACAATTATAAACATCCAAACCAAGTAAATTATACCTTTTACAATAATCCACATTACATCGCATTAACATAATATATTGTATTAAACTAAGCATTTTCATTTGGCACAAAATAATAATTATCTTTTACACTGTACATGGCATTTCAAATCTTTATTATTATCTACTTTTGGATAATATATTCATATTACATACTCTTAATAACTAATATTTTAGTAAATTGCCCAATTTTCATAATATATTATAGATATAATTATAGATTGACATAATTTGATGAACCTACTTTATAAATTTTTATTAATGTTTTTATTTATATACTATTTGCACATACATGATAAACCATATGCAATAAACTTTTCTTAAATAATATGTTACTTCAAACAAAAAATAACACAAAATTATTCTCTCTTTTGGGATCTGCAACACTTTTTATGTACACTTGCCACTTTATGTGGATTTGTCAGAATTAATGTTTAAAAGATTAATCTGTGTAAATATTCTGGGATAATTTTTTCTTTTTTGTGCCCTTTTCAACTGTAATGCAGCAGACAATCTAGCTCTGTATCACATGTGAACTAATTCATTCCTTTTCTTGTTGCATAAATAATCTTTATTTAAACCACATTTTCTCTTGACTTACTTTTCATCTGATCAATTCATTCATTCAATACATGGTAGTCTGCTACACAAAGACAAAACTTGGGATAATTTTTTGCCTATGTGTACTGAGTACTGAAGAAGTCTCATAACAACATTTTAAGTTTCTAGCCTGATCAGTTTTGTACAGTTAGCAGATAAAGAACTGTCATAGTGCTCAAACTGTTACTAATTTGGTATGCAGAAAAAGGTCATATATTTCTATCAAAGGTTATCTGAAAGTCTGCAATATTTAATTGTTTTTTTTACAATTATTTTTGACTACTTTTTGCATTCATTATAAAAAATAGTATTAAACATGAAATTTTGAACTAAAATATATCATTTTTTAAAAAACAAAAAGACATTTGAGCACTACAGTATCAACATTAATGCTGTTTTGAAACCCCCTCCTCTAAAATCTCTGTCAATAAAATACCACACATAGCAATCTCTCTGTAAATTCATATACAAGGTAGAATGGCTTCTTATCACATAATCTTATAGAAAATTTTGGTGCTTTAAAATAAAATTGTATTCTATGGCTTGGATTGATAAAATGTAGCTAATAAAAGTAAATACTCTGTGAGTTATTATGATAAAAAAAATCATAAGATTAAAAGCGTTCTGTTATTGCATCTATCTTTAATTCAGGCAAGTGTCTTTATCACTCTATTGAAAAGTTTACCTCCACTTTCAAACTTGGTGTCCTGATGAGGATTTATATCCGAAACACTCATTGACAGCATGTCAGTGAAAATATCTTCTCAGCAAATTTTTGCCAGACCTTACTTTTTCATTTCCAGCTCTTCCATCATGTCAAAAAATTTCTACTGTTCATTACAGAAATCTCACTTGAGCATGATAGCTTTATTATGAAAGTTTGTTCAAAAAAAGTTCACAGTGAAGTTATATTAAACTAAAGTGCCCGGCCACGAAACCACGGTCATGTTCACAACACCATCTAATTGTTTTAATATTTCTGCAGCTTTACCATGAGTTATTGTTTTTAAATTATGTTCATTTACACTGAGAACTATATCACCACATCTGAACATAAAGAGAAAACAAGAATGAACATTAACTCATTCAACTAAAGACAACAAGCCAAATCAGTGCTCTTGATTTTGGTCAGTTTTGCTCCTTACGGTCACAAACTGACTTAGCTATAATATTTCTAAGTAGTGCATGTCAAAAGAACCCTTCTCACTTGTTTAGGACTCTTAAGTTGAGCCAATCAAAAGTCCTTCTGAACTTTTGTCATGATTCACTTAAAACTTCATCACAAATAAGGGTTGTTGATTTGTTTGAATTTGCCAGTCATGTCAGATTTGGAAATATTCTTGAATGAACTCTGGCAATTAAACAAATTCATAGACTTACTTGAGCCTGCCATCTTTAGCTGCAGGTGTGTCAGGAACAACAGACTTGACAAAAACAGGCATAGCACCATGAGCATGATCACTTCCACCAACTATAGAGAAACCCAGACTACCACTTGGACTTCTTAATAATGAGATTGACCGTAAAATATAACATTGTCTGAAAACATAATAAAATCAAATAAAACTGAACTTTTGTCATACTGTTTGTGCAAGACAGTCACACATGCATGGTCAACAATTTTACCACTCAGTGGCTAAACTAACATTTCCACGTGTGTAGGTGCTCAGTCTGTAGGACATTAGTTGTATATCTTTTCAAAGAGTACATCAATACAGATACAGGGATTTTTAAAACAAGATGCTTAAGTTTAGATATATAGAATGCTTTTAGTCTATTAAGATGAATGAATCATTTTAGACATTTTTGAATGACAAAAAAAAAACAACAAAGTTTACAAAAAACACAAGACTCACTTAGGAACTTTTAACCAATATAGCCATGTAGGTATAAAATTGCCTGGTCCATCACATGTTTCAGCACCATCAACAACTTGTAATGTCAACTGATTTAGATCAGAGCTTAATTTCAGTTGTTTCACAGCCTCATTATGACTTTGTCCCAATAAACTATTACCATTGACATTCAAAATAATATCTCCACGCTGAAATGATGAGAAAACATCATTAATTTTGTTATTACTATTCACAGTGATTGAGATTTAAATTGCTCTTCTGTAATGGAGGTTTTATTGCTCATTTTTACCTCTAATATGAAGAGTCAGCAGACGTAAGAAATATTCTTTGAAAGTCCATTCCATCTTCAAAGATTTCAATCATAATGAACCCTTGAAAACACTCAAATATTTGGTGAAAAATTAGCAAATCTCAGCTAGTAGGAAAGCTGTAGTTTTCTTTAGATAGTTTCAAAAGGTAGAAGTAATAACCCCCTCCCCCAATATCTAAAAGACTTACCTTTAATTTACCAGTTCTACCCAGACAACCTTTAGGATTTATATTAGTAATATAGATAGGTGTATCTCCTCTATGACTAGCTACACCTCCTGCTACACTGACACCTAATGTTTCACATGTATCCTACAAATATTGATATACAGATTTAAAAAAAGCTTCAAATCACACGAATTAATGTAAATTGTAAGTCATGTATCAACTAAAATTGACTAAGAACTTGGACATTGTCTAAAGTTGTAGTTCAACAAAATCATTACAACAAACTAATGGAAAAGGTTTTATCAGTTGAGTTAAATTTTCAACTTCAAGGCAAATGTCGTAAGCGTTTAAAAGACGGGTCTAGTTTCGAGCCATTTTACTAACTTGAACAATAAAAATTTTAAGAATTCACATGTTAATCATGAAGTTATCAAACATTTTGTCAAATTCTCCCAAAAATTATTTATCAATTCTCCCTGGAATTCCTGACCATTCTCCCAAAAAATTCTCATCAAATTTATATCAAACAGCCCTTGACAAATATAAAAACCAATATCTTACCTTGGTAACGTGTATCGTTCTTTCTACTATTGGAGTATTTAATAAAGAGTTGGAAGATGAGGATGTAGATGATTTATCAGAATAAACAGAATAATTACTGGCATCATGAGAGGTAGAACGGATGAGATCAGGAGTTTGTGGACGACTTCTTCTAGATATTACAAACTGAACACAGGTTGGATCAGACTACAAATAAACATATCAAATTATAACATCAACTTTTTAATATTTGAAAATGAATGATCATTTTTTAATCAAAAGAAAGCTTTTCAAAAATTTTCAGTAAAACATTTTGGAGGTACAGCTAAGAATGTGGTTCTTGGTACTAATATCCTCTTGCCACTCTTGAAAGTAGCTTCAAGGCTGGCAACAATACTTTTGGATATGATATAGTGGTAACCAAAAATCTACTTTAAATTCTAAGGAATGAAATGAATGACATGCATATTTCTGAGCTTTAACTTTTAATTTCCAAAAGTTGAAAGAAAGCTTGTAGTGCATGGCACAGCTCTACAAATTAACTGTAATACTGTGGATTCTATTTAAGATCAAGACAGCAGATCAGAAGTGCTTGCCTGCTGAATCAAATTCATTACCTGTATAATATCAGCAGCCTGTTCTTGAGTTCCATAAGTTACATCTCTACCATTGATTTCAAATACTCTATCATCTTGTTTTAATCTACCATCAAATGCAGCTAATGATTCTGGTACTAGATTTAAAATATATACTCCAGGACCATTTCTGAAAAAAGTAAATTTCATATGAAGGATATCAAATTTTATTACATTGAATGAAATGAACTGGCTTTTGCTCATTCAATTGTTCTTGTATCTATCTGTTCATCTGTTCGGTTCATCATATGGTCAGCAAGCATTGATTCAACTTGACATCAGCTGAGCTATTCCAGCTTTCAATATTAGATGTGTTCAGAAAAAAGGAGTTAAGTCTTTTGACTGATGCTTTGCAGTAGACAAAAATTTGTCTTCTTACCTTTTTCCCACCAGTTTTATTCCAAGGGGTCTTCCAGGCACTTTATTTAACGTAATTTTCAGGATTTCTGCAAGATAAAATATAATTATAAATGAATTATAAATTACAAATGAATCTTGTTTGAATCTTTGCAGTTGTTTATATAAATTTCAAATTGTTCTACAACAGATGACAACAGATGACTGAAACTACAAATAAAAAAATATTTTCACTGTTAAAATAGTGATCAATACATCAACTGTAGGGCAAAATACAGAGTTTCATGCTATGCTATCTTTAGACAACTGGCCTGCGTCCCTACTGAAGTTGTTACTACATATTCTACAACAATGACAGAAAACATGCATTCCCATATAAATCAACTGAAGGGTATGTATAGTACCTTCTTTTTCAATAGGACGACTCTCCTCAGCTCTTTCTCTATATACTGTTAATCTACATACAGGATAATATTGATATAGAGCTGATTTAGCTTGATAATGACTAGCTTGTGTTAGATCTTCACCATTTACCTATAATATACAAAATTATTACATTAACTATCAACTAACACCAGATCTATAAGAATTTCAGCTCTAAGAGACAGACTGAAATCAATATTGGAAAAGCTCTCTCCTTAACCTACTAGACTATCATTTTAAAACAAGCTTGACATAATTGAATATATATAAAAAAAGATCAAGAAAATGTATGTTAAATTAAGGGATCATGTAAAATTATCTACATGTGATGGCAGCTCAATTCCTGAACAGCCAATAAAATGTGTTATAGGCTGTCATGTGATATTTTGACTGCTGTTGTTCAAAATGAAATTTTTGCTTGAGCATACAAGTGAGTCATAGGTGAACTGTCTGTGGTGAAACTATACTGCTGAGACAACCAGCATAAGAGATTAGCTGAGCTGTGGGAGAGACAGTACCTCAAGAATTTGATCCCCAGGTAAAAGACGACCATCTTTATGGACAACACCATCAGGAACTATTTCTTGAATCACAGTACATATCTACAAAGAAAATGCCAGTTAACAAATCATACAATTATTTGAATAACAAATCATTTATGAACATCACTTTTCAAAATTTAAATCTGTTGTCAGGTTTGTCTACAAATTAATGAATCTATTTCAAATCACAATGCAAGTTTGATAATTCTGAATCAAATTCACATTATGTCATTAGTGAACATTGGGGTACAATTTTACTTCAGAAGTATAACTAAATGGTTATAAAGTGCTCTATGCAGTTTTTATTAGGAACTATCTTTGGAATTTGAACTTTGAAACACCCAAGAAATGAAAACTTACAAGAGGGGTATCACATCCACCAACAATACTAATGCCTAATTCAGGACTAGCTCTCTGTATTTCTATAGTAGATACTTCACCATCCATTACAGGATTTTTACCTACAAATAAACAGTTCATAAATAAACAATCACAACTTCAATTAGCGTTTAGCAATACAGAATTTTTACAAACATCTTGAGACATTTGGCTACCTGCTTGAACAGATACAGAAATTTACATTGTCTGATGGCATTAATTGTTTTGTATTGAACAGAGAATACACTTGTGTTGGTTGCCCTTACCAGCTTGCTGATCACGATATGGACATTCCCAAAGATGACTTTGTAAGGCACTTCTTGGACCTTGAAAATGGCAGCCTAAACTGGCTTTGATACACCGTTTGACAGCACCTCGACACCTGGAAAAAGACAACAGTGCAACTTTTGTAACCTATTTTTGATAGAAACAACACAAAACATTTGGATGAAAGAGTTAAAATAACTTTCAATATGGAACATTTTAAATTGAATTGTAGGAGAGCCAGATATTTATTTTAATTCTAAAAGGTCTATCAGTTTGTAAAAGACAATGATTTGCAACCATTTTACATCTTGACCTCCAATCACTATCTAGATTATGAGGAGGCTTTCAAAATCTCTCGGTAACTCAGTTAGAAAAGGAATAACTTTTTATAATTCTTTGTTTGAACAGCAGATAAGCAAAGTCTCTCTTGGCTGAAAAGTTCTAATCTTAACTGTGAAAGACTCGAATTAATTTGATTTTCAACATAGACCCCTTCCAGTGGTTATAGCTTTCTACTTACCTATGTAATAAATGAGCTTCTAATTCTGATCGTGTTAAAACTTCTTCACAATAATCAACATTAGGACAAACAACTAATAATTTATCAAGTAATCTGAAAAAAAAATACAGACAAATTAAATTTTTAGTACATAACCAAACATAACTGATTTTTATTATACACAAAGTTTCAACAATTTACATTATCATCATCTAATGAATCAGTAAACTATTATATTGCGTTCCTTTCTTTAATGTGATTTCTACCCCTAATGTCACTTATGTATAAGCATGGAAAAAAATATTGGCGAAGTACATTTGAAAACATTATTTTAAAGATCTTGTCAATGGCAATTATAAATGATCTTTGATTCTCTAATTGGTAACTATGAATGTTCAATCTTTGATTCTCTAATGGGCAACTATGAATGTTCAATCTTTGATTCTCTAATTGGTAACTATGAATGTTCAATCTTTGATTCTCTAATGGGCAACTATGAATGTTCAATCTTTGATTCTCTAATGGGTAACTATGAATGTTCAATCTTTGATTCTCTAATGGGTAACTATGAATGTTCAATCTTTGATTCTCTAATTGGTTACTATGAATGTTCAATCTTTGATTCTCTAATGATCAACTATGAATGTTCAATCTTTGATTCTCTGATTGGTTACTATGAATGTTCAATCTTTGATTCTCTAATTGGTAACTATGAATGTTCAATCTTTGATTCTCTAATTGGTAACTATGAATGTTCAATCTTTGATTCTCTAATAGGTAACTATGAATGTTCAATCTTTGATTCTCTAATTGGTTACTATGAATGTTCAATCTTTGATTCTCTAATGGTCAACTATGAATGCTCAATCTTTGATTCTCTGATTGGTTACTATGAATGTTCAATCTTTGATTCTCTAATTGGTAACTATGAATGTTCAATCTTTAATTCTCTAATTGGTTACTAAGAATGTTCATTCTTTGATTTTCTAATTGGTTACTATGAATGTCCAATCTTTAATTCTCTAATTGGTTACTAAGAATGTTCAATCTTTGATTTTCTAATGGATAACTATGTATGCTCAATCTTTGATTCTCTAATTGGTAATTATGAATGTTCAATCTTTGATTCTCTAATTGGTAACTATTAATGTTCAATCTTTGATTCTCTAATTGGTAACTATGAATGTTCAATCTTAGATTCTCTAATTGGTAACTATGAATGTTCAATCTTTGATTCTCTAATTGGTAACTATGAATGTTCAATCTTTGATTTTCTAATTGGTAACTATGAATGTTCAATCTTTGATTCTCTAATTGGTAACTATTAATGTTCAATCTTTGATTCTCTAATTGGTAATTATGCATATTCAATCTTTGATTCTCTAATTGGTATGAATGTTCAATCTTTGATTCTCTAATGTTACTATGAATGTTCAATCTTTGATTCTCTGATGTAACTATGAATTTTCAATCTTTGATTCTCTAATGGGTAACTATGACTGTTCAATCACTGATTTCTCTATTGTAACTATGAATGTTCAATCTTTGATTCTCTAATTGGTAACTATGAATGTTCAATCTTTGATTCTCTAATTGGCAACTATGAATGTTCAACCTTTGATTCTGTAATGTAACTATGAATGTTCAATCTTTGTTTCTCTAATGGGTAACTATGACTGTTCAATCACTGATTTATCTAATTGGCAATTATGAATGATCTTTAATTCTCTAATAGGTAACTATGAATGTTCAATCTTTGATTTTCTAATTGGTAACTATGAATGTTCAATCTTTGATTCTCTAATTGGTAACTATGAATGTTCAATCTTTGATTTTCTAATTGGTAACTATGAATGTTCAATCTTTGATTCTCTAATTGGTAACTATGAATGAAATGCTGATATCTATATAAAGAAAAAATTTCTAAAACCTCTTTCCCTAAAAAAAAATGTGATCTTTTATCAAAGGCTGCATGATATTTTATCAATTTTATAAAATCAGCTTAATAACAATCAGAATGAGCATTTTGGGGGAAATATCAAATACATGCATGATAGTCTTAAACAGATCTGTAAAGTAATATATATTCTAGTACATGTATCTTAAATAGCTAGATCTTGTTATTATTAGAGTAAATAATATAACAGTTTATACCACACCAAGATCAATATATTACCATATATATTATACATTCCAGGTAGATTGATCATGCTACAATAAACATCATACACCAATATGTCTCATTCATTATATATTATTCATCAATAATAACTTATACTCATTTATCAAATGACTTCATTGTATGAATCACATGTTCTCTTTAAAGCTTTTTATTGTTTTATTTTTCAAGATTTCCCCATCAGTCAAATGTATTTTTCTTTTCAATCAAAATTAATAATGGTAGTGCTGATTTTTATACCACCTTTTACAATGAAGCTTCTTATAATTTACAAGCATCTCAGAAAGCACATTAAGCCTCTTACGGTAATTGATTTTTATTATTTTGTAAAGAAACAAAGTTTGACATTCTACTTTTCTCCTTGAATAATGCCAAATTTTGGAAATTTTAACCTACAAAGGATTTACAGCTTACAGTACACTGAACAATTCAAATAAATATTCAAATGTCAGTCACTTTGGTCTACATTTCACAGGTAGGCTACCATCTTGGTCTTTACCAGCATAGAACCTCTCACTTGATTCTATAGGCTCACTGAGCCAATATCTGTTCAATACTATATTTCAAAAGCATCGCATCATTCTAATATGTCACTGAATTTTGTTGTCAGTTATAAGTTTTACTAATCAAAGTTATCAATCTTAAACTTACTAATTCAATCTGAGTGCCCCAGCGCCCCTTTGCTGATTTAAGGGGACATTAGTCACTAGAATAAATTGTTCATTTCTTCATGGCCTCTAGGGGTACCATAGCTAAAAAATTATAGCCTACAAAATCATGCTTTCAGCAATCACTCCAATCACTCTAAACAATGACAAATGACACAACTTTGACAGCAGAATACAAACTATGTTACTGATCCATAAAGTGCTTATAAGTATATAGATGTCCAATCACTGATCTGAACTTAACAAACTTATATATTGTAGCTATACATAAAGATCTTAAATTATAGACAGCACTATAATAGTTCTAAACAAGAGCATGTTCAAGTGTGACATATATTTGACACAATTGTAGTACGAAATAAAACATATAAACTTAAAGATTCTAAACCACAGAGTGACTTGTCCAATCACTGATTGCATCATCAAGAATATATTTACCTGTAAGGTGAGAGAAGAACAGTACTTGACGACACTTCAGGTTGTTCTCCAGACTCCATATTGATAGTATGAGATTGATGCACCACACAGCTGTTGTTATCATCCTGACATGCTCCCTCGTCAGCTGTACTGTGTCGGTGACGTCCAATTGATATTTTAGTTTTCATCTCATAACCAGATGTTTAAAAATATATATACTGATATTGATTATATATAGTCTGATATATTTATATTACACTTTATTCACAATTAACGTTGAAATGTTCAGCACAGCACAGTCAGTTTTATAGCATAGCACAGTCAGTTTTATAGCATAGCACAGTCAGTTCAATAGCATAGCACAGTCAGTTTTAGCTACTAGTCATAGTGATACAGGCTGTGGAAAGAAATTCTTCAGTTAGGATGGTTAATAAAATACTTCAATAATGTCTTCAATGATGACCTACACCTTCTAGAAAATTGTAACAAAACTCTGCTCACTTTTTATACAAAATTATCCCTTTCCAAATAGGCAACAGACTTTCCATAGAAACACAGCAGGAGAAACATAAAATATAGAACACTAGTTTTCACTTTAGGCTGGCAAAACTACATAAGTCTTCAATTTAGGACAACTAGCTCATTTCAAAAGTTTTCAAGGTAAAAAAATTATAACATACAAATTACCTATCAAGTCAACCTTCATTGACTATCCTCACTAAACTCACAAAAACAATTGAAATATTTCATAGTGTGTAGATAATTCAAAACTATTCAATATGAGAATGACCTTCCTGCTGTACTATCTCATGCAAACTAACAGAATAGTAACAAAGACAACATTCCATTCCACTGACCAAAGAAAATACCAATAGAGTCAATAAATGACTCACAATATAAGCTAAGGTTTTTAATAAATGAAATTAACTGGGTATTGTAGTCTGAACTGACGACCTGTTAGAGAGATTTAATAGAAAAACTTAATCATGATAATAGGCTGACTGGACATCTGGTGTGGTCAGTGGTCAATATGTTGGATACTATCCAATATTTTATTAGTTTTAGATGTTATCTTCTCATTTATCTGTCTACACATCACTTTTTTTTATCAATATCAGATTAATTTTAATCCAAACAAAGTTATTGAATTAAAAATCGAATTGGGTCAACCAAATAGACAAGGAAGAAGAAGCTGCCTCCTTTTTTATTGACCTATGCCAAAATTAATCTTCAGACTAGCAAGCAAGCATCTAACTCAATGAACTAAAAAAATTAAAATATTCAAATAAATAGTTCAATATTTCATTTGAAATTTCATCATCAAATTTACTGGAGAGCTAGACAACCCTTATGATATTTAATTCTCATTGTCAATCAATTTGAAAAGAATTATAAATTCAAGTTGAGCTATAGACAAACACACTCAATAAGGATAAAGTCTGTAGCTTCCTTATTCAAGGAAAAAATGAGAAAAAAATGTAAATCTAAACTTAATTATAGAATGTCTACTTTCACAATGTTTGCCTTCATATCAAATAAAATAATACTCTTCCTATTGTAATCAATGAAATTTGCCAAAACCAAAATGTTACAATTCATAAAATCATTACAAAGAACATCCACTCTCATACTGTTAAAAACCTACATATAACATATCATAAAATCAAATACAATGTCTACTCTCATAATGTTTGACTTCAAAAACATTACTATCCCTGATTCTTATCTTCATTTTAATTTTCTTAAAAACCCATCAAAGGGTTACAAATAATAAAAATCATATGTAAAATGTCTACTCTCTCAATAGTGTGTTGTGAATATCAAATACATCCCTCACAATTCTAACCACAAAAGAATTGACTCAAAAAAGTAAAACAGTTCAAAATGATGAAACCATAATTAACTGCCTACAGTCAGGATAATGAGTATCATACCAATTTAATCCTGTTCAAGTTAAATCATTGATACACTAACTAAACTCAATCACCAATCGGAAAGAAATTCTATTGTATTTTTACACAGGAGTAGAGTGATAAGAATCTCCGTGCACACTTAAAACAACATTATCTATCAGCATAACTTTCAACGTCTGGTGACATTTTCTTCAAATGTCATTGGAGAAAAAATGAAGAGGCAGACACATCAATCAAGTGCAGCTTAAGAAAATTACTTATTGTTCCCTCACATCTTAGCCTTATTATAAAATAGTATTAACTCTAATTCTAGAAAAAAGATAATAGATACAATAGGATTACAAAATAGGTGATGTTTTCCTCTCATAGGTTTTGACCCAGACACACTGCTGCTTCTGTGGGTCATTCAGTAATTTTTCTGACATGTAAGCTCTTAAGCATTGCTGGATATATAAGCTGTTTGTCAAAAACACACTCAGACATAATCAAGTTCCTTGTCAGGTACTGATCTAAAATAAATCACATCATGACATACTAATTTAAATCAACCTTGTATCTTTTTTTTAATAAGTAAAGAAAATATGAAGTCTTACAGTCACAAAAGATTTCAAAAAAATCGCATAAAATTTTTCATTTCTTTTTTGTATGAATTTTTTATTAAGAATTTCGTTTTTACAGAGGAAAATTTGCAAATTCAAAATATGAAAAAAGTCTGTAATTGTCAAACAAGTCAAACTAAAACACTCAATCTAACAAGACATTCTATAACAATTCAACCTAATACTAGTCAACCGAAAACTGGTCAACCTAAGGAGTCAAAATAAAACTAGTCAACCTAGTTAATATTTAACTAGTCAATCTATAACTATTCTAGTCAATCTAATACTAGTCAATCTGAACCACAAATCTAATACTGGTCAACTCTAGACTAGTCAATCTATTTAATTAGTCAAACTTGTCAAACTAAAAAAAAAAAAACTTATAACTAGTCAATTTTAACATAAAACCTTATTACAGTTATCAAAATATTCATTAAGCCAATTTACCAACAAAAGTTAACTGACTGTAGAGCTGTAACATTATAACACAGTTACCATTTAAATTAGTATTGACAAAAGTCTTTCAATGTGTGATTATTTACTAAGAGAATGAAGAATCCTTTCAGAGACAATTACTGAACAAAGCAGATTCACCAATATAATCAATGATAATAATTATCATTTTAGACAGAAATAATTTGTATTGATAGCACAACCAATAGTCAACCTTATTGAAATTAACACTAGACTAATCAATTTATTTACTAAGTTAATTAAATAATGTCTAATTAATCAATACAGGTTCTAATAACTACATATTACTTTTTCTCTTCCTAATTTGGATGATTTGTGAATTGCAATATTTACCAAAATTTCTATTTGTTTTCTATGCTAGTAGAGCCTAATACTGGTACATTTGTACAAAAAAATAATCTAGAAAAATTCTACTTTAAGGATTTCAAACTAGGGGATCTTTATGGTAAGCAGTTGCAATTGTCCCAACAATATATGCTTTTTCAGTCAACCTCTCCAAACTGCAACACTGACATGGGAAACCTGAACTGAAATTACTAATATCTCGACTTACTCATAATTAAACTCTGGACCTTAATGTTTAGGTTATCAAGCGAGCAAGCTTTTAACATGCATAATCATCCACAGATATTGGTGATAGCAAAGTGAAAAAAACATTTAATTAATTTACTTACTTACTACTACTTAAACTGAATAATTTCCAACCAAACCATAAAAAGATGATCCAACATTTTAGTATTTTTACTGAAAACTAATTATAATTTTAGTGTTGGACAATTGAATAGATGTTTGTCCGAAACTTATCATAGCCAGCTGAGAAGAAAAAAACACCACTAACAAACCAATCTACCGCCTAATCTAATCAAATTCCAATCAACTAATACCGATACTATGGTACTAAAAACACTTCACTATATCAAATACAGTACATAGATACCGATAATTAATCAAACTAGACAAAAAATACTCTAATCAAATACTCTAGCACATGATCATCTAAGGAAATATTCAGAAAACTTTCAATTGAGGAAATATTGAGTATATGAAGCCTAGTCAATATTTTATACAAGGTCAAGGTCAATTTGAAGCTAGAGGAAGCTTAAATTTTCCTTACAAAAACAATTTTATCGAAATTTGGCAAGAGCTTAGAACCTTGAAAAAAATAACAGGAAACAAAATTTCAGGATACCAGTTGAGCCAACAGATATAAATAAGATTACATGCAAACTGCAAAATTGCATGCAGAAAGTCTTTCTCAAGAACGTTACATAGCCCAGAGCACAGTGTTTATGAGCGCCAGTTCAAATGTTCTATGAGTTGATAAAAATTATCAAAGATCCATGGACACAAAAATTAAGATAACATGCTACCCACATAAACAGAATCCAAAGGTGTCCCAAAAGGGCATTAACCTTCAAGCAGGAAGTTTTCACAAGAAACTATTACAGGCCAGTACACAGCATTTTTTTAGCACCTTACAGTACTGTGACCAAAGTCAAAGATCTCTATTTCCAGAACACAATTATGATCCAAAAAAATAACGTCAGACACAGACTGAACTCTTCATAAAAGAGGTATAAAACTAAAGGCAGGATATAAAAAGTAATAACAGTATGCTAAGATAAATGACAATACAGCTCAGGTCTGAATAAAAGAACTAAGTTACAAAAATCAATGAATGTATAAGCCTATCAAAAGGTGTGTATATTGTGTTAAGAGGTAGAAACAATCAGGTTTCTGATTTAGATCATTGATTCCCTGCAGGTTGACAGGAATCTCAGACAATACACCGATTCCACTTTATATAAAGAATGGATTGATTATTATTTGAATAAGGTTAAAAATAGACATTAGAATAATATTTAGGTTGTATATGATTTTCCTCTGATGAAGAATGAGGTGGAATGTTTGATTGAAGCTTTAATGTAATGTGAATTGTTTTATATCATACATATTTTAAGGTGTTAATAAAATAGGTGAATATTTTTTGGTTATGATGCATGTAGAAAATTATCAATACCGGTAATAATCATATTAAAAGGGACATGTGTGGCATTTTTGGGGGGTGATTTGGACCTGGAATATATGTAAATAGTCTTCTGAACTGTACAAAAATCACATAATCCTTGTGAACTGTGACAGGATGATTGAGTCTATTGTATAGTTATGAAGTCATCAACAAACATTCGAAATGAAAGTCTTTAAAGCATGGACTTGAACATCATAACTGATTAAATTAGCAGAACAATTCATGATTCTGAGACCAAGGTATGATTTACTTCCAAAAATGCTGCATGTGTCCATTTAAAGTGAGAGTACACCCCAATTTACTAAGATGGTTTAAAAATAACCACATATTATTATACTTCTGTCTAAGCATATATTTTGTAAATTGAAATTTTTCAATTATTTTTCTTATGAGAATTTGAATGTTACCTTGAAAATACTGTCATAGTTTTAGGATGACTTCGCATTGTTATAAATTCAAACATTTTCATCTTAAAATTTAGTTTTTACAAAGGACAAAATTTTTAGCAAAATACGCTATCTGGGATATTTTCAGAATCTATGGAAGGCAAGTATATTTCTATTCTATTCCATATTTTATTAACACAAAATCTTCTTGTGGCTATCAGTATTCAGTGCCAGTTGGAAATAGATAATCAAATTCAATTTGGAAAATCGACATAATTTAATTTACCAGACTGGAGAATCTTTGAAGGTTACTACATGGTAGGAATTCATGATATAAATAAGTCTCATATGAATAAAGAAAATATTCAAACCTGACTATCTGTAACCAAAGAAGTTAAAATATCATTCACCTACCTGCGTACTAATATACTGGATGGAGAACAATCTTTAATAGTTAATGGTAGTCTATCTAGTGGACATTGCTTCTGAATCTTGAGGTAGTTCTTTAAACAACGTTGACAGAATGTATGTCCACATTTAGTGTCCAGGGGATTCACTAATGGCTGCAAGCAAATCTGACATGTCAAATCTTCGTCAACCGTTTGGTAGTAATCGTAAAGATGTGTTCCATGAGAATCGTGAAATTGTCCACAGGTGAGACACAAGGCTGTCTGCCATCTTATATGTTGTAGTGACATCTATTGGGAACTGTTATTTCAAAAATAGCACCATTTATTTTTCCTCCTTTTTTGTGCGTCTGCAAATAAAAAAAAAATGGCAATTCAATCAATCAACAGGTTTTGTAAATTTTATGATTTTTCTTGCTGACATCAGCTTGGGTTCACAATATCAACAAAAACTCATTTTGTTAAACACTGGTCATTTTTGTTTTGTTGATGAAACTATAACTCATCCCCCTTTACTATATTTCTAGAAACAAATAGTTTTCCTCAACATATTTTTCTGTTAACAAGTACCTATGTAAAAATTGAAGTAAAATGATTGTGAAGACAAATTTCATTGACAAAGACTGCAGGAGATCTAATACTACCGCATTTAAGTACAGTAATGATCTAAAAATTTGTTCAGTTCAGTAAAGATAAATATTTAATGTTTGTAAAAAGAGTCATTTTAACTAAATGTTAGCAAAAACTGTTAATAAAAAAGACTCTAAAATCTGAGCTTCAAAGCTTTACAAGATAACCATCTGTCTATGTTCACTAGACCTGTTCAATGTTATTTGAAACAAGGACATAAAATGCTTCACAAGTTTCTTAAACATTTCCACTGTTATTCAATGTCAAGGGCATTCGAAACTTCATTAACTCTTTGAAAATTCACCAAGAAAATTGACATGAAGTCTTTTTAACTTTCAAACTCGGATAATCCTGGACATGTGAACACTATACTATATAATTGGTTTAGCTAAAAGTACTGCTTTAAAGACTAAGGAACGATTGGTGGCACATCTGTCCCTTTAAATCTCTTCATTAATAATATTTTGTACTGCTTTAAAGAGACTATTGCAACAGCAACAACATAAGATATCTTACATTGTAGCAAGAATAATCTGGCCCTACACCCTATGTGTGGATGTGTTATGTTCTGCAATGTCCCTGTGCATCACCCAATCAAACAGTCGACAAATGCATAAAGTATACTTACAAGTTTTTCCTCATTCACCCATTTACTCAACTAAAATACAACTCATTCCAATCTCTCTCTTGTATAATACTATTTTTAAAATATATTTCTTCTACATCATGATTTTCTATTTTATAATCTGAAATAGAACAAAATGGAATCCTAATGTTCTGCATTTTCCTTTTGGATAAGGCTAATACCATGAGCACAAGCTCTATTTTATAATTTTAGAAATTAAGGTGATTGAAGAGTAACAAGTTACTATTCAATATAAGGCACTGGCACAGATGATAAGAATGTACCGGTACCAGGAAAGTATTTAAAGCACAAACAACAGTTTTGAATGGGTGCTGCAAAATGTGAGACCATTTTTTTAATTACAGCTATCTGTATCTCTTTTAAAACATTTGTATACAGTCTTTAGATTTGTAAACCACATATGTAACAAACATCAGATCTTTATTAAAAGGAGAGACAGGCCTGAGAATAGCTGCATTTTCCATTTGCCACATAACAATACAAATCAGGATGCAAGGGTCAAGATACGATACAGATTCGGATACGGGGTAGTGGAATAAAAATTAACATTTTAACTTCTAAGTTGCAATATAAGATATAAATTTGTAACTATATTTGGAATGTAGTTGATAAGAAGAAGTCAACTGTCTTATAAATAGTTTCAAACAATTTCAGTCAAGTCAGTGAAAACAAATTGTGATTCCATTCACTAACTTGTGCCATATCGTGATGCTTTGATTCACTGATATATCGTATCAGAACTAATATCCAACTAATAATCAAATGGCTATATATCCTTTTAAACACAATTAATGTAATTTTAAATCAAAGGAAAAAAACAGCTCAAATGACATGATTGTTAGGTAAGTGTTGATTAATTTAACAATGAATGATCATTAAAATAGTTTATATACAGTCAGTCATATCTTTTTACTATCAACTAAAGTTCAAATGATCACAATTAAAACACCTGGTAATACAACACTATCTAATAAAACTGAAAAAACATCAGCCATGTACATTTATAGAATAGTTCATTTAAAAGAGGTATCCCAGGTTACTTTTGAAGATTGTTGTCACTTTCAGAGTATGATTAATTCTTGCACATTGTGATTTTATTAACAATGAACCCGATGTCCAAATTTAATTTTGAAAATGGTACAGATAGCAGTATTTGAATTTTATCAGGTGGCCGATCTATTATCTTGTAATGTGTCCCTTAAGTTTGAAAATGTCAAAATGACATCAATTGCCAAAATCTAAAAGATGTATACAAAATGCCCTGAGAAACCAATATAAGACCTAATCTTGAAAAGAAAAAAGAAAGAAACAACTATTTTTTACAAGTATAACAACTTAGGTTCACAGTTAAGGATTCTTCTACCTGCTGGTTCTTGGAAAAACCTCTTGGTATTGAGCTTTCCCGGATTATCCGTACCCATTTACAGCTGGGTCGACTGGAATTATGAGTGAAGATGAATATCACACGCCGATTGATGACGTCATGTAAGGAACCATGCGCTAACCTGCGCTATAGAACCTCTGTCAGATTAACAGATAGCTAAGAAGGAATCCCCATCAACTTAGTGTGATTCAAATTGAATTCAGTGGACAAGAAGTTTCAAAAGTGTTATACCACACAGTGCAATTAGCTTTTTCCAAAGATTTATATTTTCACTTTTCACTGCAAAAAAAAGCCGACCTGTCTGCATTAAATTCTTCACATTTTACACCTACAATAGTTTAAGAAAAGATCAAAGTTTTAGATATCTTTATTTATCATTGTCAATTAATAAAGGAGTGTTCTTCACACTCCAGTCTTTGTTTAGTATTGTTGTGTTAATAGTTGTAGAGCCAGTATCTTTTGTCTCCCTATAGCCTTTTGTCATTGTTTGGTTGCAGTCCTGCTTGCCTTCACACAGTACCTTCTACTTGTCATTATTTATTGAAACTCATTGTGTCAACCAACAGCAGCCTAAAGAGTTCATGACTTCAATTCACAGTTTTGCATATAAAATATCTTTTCAAACAAGGCATGAACAAGTCATCATAAATGAATTTTAAAGTTACATTCTGGTTTTTTGTAGGTCCAAACACCAAAATCTATAGAAATGTGTTCATTAACGTATCTGAAAGTTCTAATTTAAAACCTGTTTAATAAACAATTAGTACTCACGGTTTTTAATTAGATCAATACCATACAAAGATATGAATTTCACATTTTATAGAAATATTTTCAGGTATAAATCACAATTGTTTTTGATAATAAACTGTTTCCAAAAAAAGCGGAATGCCGAAAGATATTGCTGGCATAATACAAAGGCTTTTTACTTGCTTTATTTGCTCATAATACAATTATCATGAGTCAAATTTCAGAAGGGTTAGCTCCATCTGATAAGGAAGAAATAAGAGCTGAGATGAGTACATGATCAATAATATGTGTTCTTTAATCAAATGATAAACAATATCATGTTACCCTTTATACTGTACTGTGCATAATTGGCAAGAGGGTCACATTGGAGTTAACTTCAATAGGAAAGCTGTTTTAAAAAAATATATCAATATCAAACGGATATAGTTCCCCATCAGTTTGACCAATAGTACTTTAGTCGCAGGAATTTTAGCTAGTCTCATAAGTAATAGTGTTCACAGCTCACCATCAAAATCTGATCCTTCAAATCAACGTGTGTCCAATATCATCTGAATTTTAAAGTTAAAATGAGACTCTACCATTAAGAAAAGAAATAAATAAGAGAAATAGAAATAAATTTCCAATCTGATGTATATTTGATGGATTATGATTATGATTATTTGAGGCACTGAAGTGCTTCTGAAGACGTTTTACAAATGTACAAGACTCAAATCGACCCTGAAAGTGGCTAACAAGGCCTTGAAATAAAACTGAACAACATGTGTATGACAGGTTTTTAGCTCCAGTCTAAGTGAAGACTTGTGTCAAACAGAACTCATAACTTGTAAAAAATTAAGTCAACATTACCTAAAACGTGTTATATTGGTAGTAAAAGGTATTGTACAGACTGAAGTATGGTAGTTTGTTAATACAATAAACAGGTACAGAACTAAACTATATCTTACAATGTTAACCCTTGTTTATTAACTCTTTAACATCTCTATTGATTTTAACCCTCTTACTGCTGGTCTCATGGGGGGTTCTTTTAAGGTCACCATATTCAGATGTCTTATTGTTTATGTATTGTCATGGTCAAACAGGGCTACTTAAGGGTCATACACATGGTCAGTATGGTACCACTATGTAATGGTACATCGATTCCTTGACAATATGGATGAATGAATGCATTGAGTGAATGAGAATATGGATGAATGAATGGAGTTTAAAATAATATGGATGAATGAATATTTTATACAGTAGAATAGAGCGCTCACAAGAGATGTATTTATAGATCCAGATTTACAGTAGAGACCAACTTTAATAAAATATCTTTTAGGGCATAAGTGTAGGTATTTAGCTTTGGGTCCCTTAAGCAACAAACCTTACAACATATACAACAAAGGTGTTGGTTTCAAATTAAAGCATTTTCTAAGCTTTATCACTCAAATTTTAGTAGGAAAGAACACATTTTTTAAAACAGCCAAGAATTTGGAACAATCATTTTTGTTTTTAGTTCGATTTGATACAGTAACATTTATTCACATCTTATACAAAACTATTCTCAGTAAATACAGTAAACAGATATAAAGCTGTTTCATCACAGTGTTTAAAATTCAGAAAGAATCAAATCATTCTCTTTATCATGTCACTTTATGCAGAAAATCAAATTTTCTTGATAATATTTGTAAGAATTGGAACATTAGCTTTCAAATACTAGCACTAATCCTCGAATGAATTTGTATTGATAATTCCTTTTAAATCATTGTTTTTACAGAGGTCAATTTTCAACAAAAATTTGTAAAGTTTTCAGTTGTAATTTCTGGGAGGAAAGTGTTTCTCTACTCAAGATAAATTTACCAAAAATATTTACTTGTCAAGTCATTTTTAGATTGACAGCGCTATTCTGAAAATCAATTCACTTTTAAAAAAATCCTTGAACAATTTATATTTACCTACCTATTATGCAGTTTTATATGAACACACTGAATAATAAAGATGATAAAGTATCATTTTCAGAACAGAAATATAACCTCACTGACCTGAATCTTGAATCAAAAGTTATAAAATCCCAAAACTGAAGAAAACTTGAATTTATAAGTTCAATAACCCAACTTGTACACCAAGTCACATACAGGTAAATAGAAGATAGTGTCAACTAAAAACAAACTGTACACTGTTAAACAATGTCCTTGACCCTGCATTCACTTCTAACTTTCTTATCATCATCCTTATTTATAGAAACAAGTTATTTATAGAAAGGGGGTTCCCTGTGTCCACTGGGTGTAACAATGATGTAGATTGTAAATAGGACAGATTGCCTAGAGGGCTTTGTTTTCTATTTGAAAAGACAAAAAGATAGTGTGTTTGGTCTGTTGCATGACCATTTTGCAAGAAAACAAGATGCCTTATTTTAAAATTGATTAATGCTACCAAGGGTGAAAATTAACTCACAGTAAAAAAATTATTTCAACAACTACATTCCTTTAACCTTGAATAAATAGAAAGGAAGGACACTATGTATATTAACTTAATGGTTTTCAGCACCTGTTTGGGCTGATGAGATCGAACAAAGCCATACAGTGTGCAATGCAAGAAATTAACCAAGATAATAGTTTAGATTTGTAAAATTCTATTTTTATGTAGAACAACAGTTTTGGTTGCCTTGCATTTCAAGAATCATCGTCTAAACGCAATCATATTACGGGTACTCAATATGGCCTACCGGTACATGTAAGATTATATCTGAAATCATGAAAACTGATACTGGTATTGATAACAGAAAACAGATCTCTCACATAGTAATTGATCGATATACCAGTCGATTACCAATTTACTGATCAAAGTCAATTATTATACTAGATGTTATTTGGTACATTTCATTACTGGTACTGTGAATTATTATGTTAACATTTAAAGGGATACTGTGGATGTCAATATTTTCCTTAAAAACAAACTTTTATAACTATCTCCAGAACTTCCCAGGGTGAAAAATCTGATATCTGAATCATTTATACTCATTCATATGAATAAAATGGAGCTTAATGTCTGATTGAGCTACTGAAGAAATAAGACAATGACAGAAATATTTTCAGGACATATATTAGCCTACCCTCTTGAATTTCCAACTGTCTAAAGATCATGTCACAAGCACATGGGACAGTGTTTTATTTTCAAATCTAAACCTTTTTCATCTTATAATGAAACTGTAAGGTACTTATTGAAGACAATTTTAACTCACTAAGCCATGTCTCTCTATGTTCAACCAACCATTCTGTACAACTTAATTTCATAAGAATTCCTTCTACCAGCTGGTTCTTGGCATTCATCTTACTGGATTATCCATACTCATTTACAACTGGGTCAAATGGAATAATGAGAAAAGGTAACTTATTCGAGATCTTTCACACTCTGACTGAAATTAGAAGTTCCCACGACCACCATTTGTTTGACATACCGGTAACCGTAAAAAAAGTAACACTCTTACATAACAGAGTGCTACGGAACCCTTTAAACACCATCGTAATTGTAGATCTAAACCACACCAAGATCACATAATAGGCCTACCAGACAAAATTCAATGATCAAAAAAATTCATTGATATTTAAGCTGTTGACTAATAATAACATCAACTCAATTCGTGTACCATATCATATCCAATATAGGTCGTGGGAACTGTTCAAATTATCCATTAATAACTAGGTGTATCATGATATATCAATAATCATTACTGTCAATAGCCATTTTGATTTACACTGATCTTATCTTACTTTGTTCATTTTTACATTAACTGAATCATTTAGGCTAGACCAAATTAATACCTTGTTATACAGAGGCATTGTGGTCTTTAAGAGGATTGTAAAGAGGTTGTCTTCATTTTTTTTATGTGTATTGAGGACACTGAAAGCATAATTTGCACCATTCCAATTTTCAATCAGACATCTGTGGTTCCTACAATTCAACTTAAACTAAGTGTTTCATGCCATCACTTATTACAAAGGGACTTGTGTAAGGATATTTTGGGAGAGAGATGTCTGATTGAAAATTGAAATCGTGCAAATTGATGCTTTCAGTGTCCCAACATAAATTTTTTAGAAAACCTCTTTACAATCCCTTTAAGGTAATGCCTCACGCTACATTGTTTGGATTACATCCTTTTACAATTGACAAAGCCTGTTTCCAACTTTTTAAAGCTCAATTTTCTTTTGGAATAATCTAGTAAGGACAAAAGTCTTTAAGACAAAAGATTTTAAATATTTTAATACTAAGATCTTCTTTCAGAAAATAAAAAAAAATTGTCGTAATAATTTATAATTTAGCTTCTGTTAAAAATGAGATTTATCCTGTTGGCCTTAGGATGACAATATATATTATATAGCATAATAAAACAAATGGTATAGATATTTAAATATCCCTGTACAGTAAACTTGTTGAATGAATATATAATTTATTGGTTGAGCATCTATTGTTAATAGATTATTATTAGTATATTTATCATCTTAATCCAAAAAAGCCCATTTAGCCATTTTGTCAACAAAGCTAAATGAAACTAAAACAAGAGTGTCTAGAGAAATTTCACAGAAGAGTTCTACTGTAGTGCCATCATTTAAATGGAGGATTGGGAGAAGATAACAGCTTGTTACAGTTTTGCTAGTAATATTTCCACATAATGGTACATTTCCCTATGACCGCCTATGACTCTGACCCAGGTGTCTAGCTGTCTAAAAACCTTTCAGAACCTGTAGATTGGACCTCATATTCTAGACAAATATCAAACATTGAGCTATGATGCCCTAGCAAAAGTTGATTTAGATTTATAGACACTTGTGAGGTTTTTATCAAGCTTTAATTTTGTTCCTACTTAGGTCAATGGCACTTAAAGAACGTTTTGCTTTTCATGAGGTATCTTGACAGCATCAGCATGTGATATCTACTTTACTATAAAATTGTTTGATGTTTAAGCAGAATTTGAAATTGAAGAAGAAGAATAGCCTATGACATGTTTATGTCCTATCATCTAATTCTAATATGGCTGTGTCAGTCATTAGAGAACCTGCTTCATTCAATTAGCACTTTATTGGATTGAATTTTAACTCATTGGTTACATTCCTTCTAAGCAAATGGGGTTAGACTCCATGTGTTGCAAGAATATCTCTGTATATGACGTGAAGGGAAACATTCCTTCTGAGGAAAAAATTCAGAAACTTTCCCATTCTTTTTCCTGAATTTTTTTGTCTTGTTCGGTTGATCATCTAATTGATCGGTAAAAATAAACAAGTTTTCCACAAAATATGGCGCATAAATGGTTATAGCGATAATAAGTATTAATTTATTTGAAGATTTTCATTCAAAATGTGAAAATATCTTACCAAATAACAGAAAAACATTGGAAAATCTCTGAAATTTCTTGACTGTCAACACAACATCGGAAGAATGGCACGTGATGTCACTTCCGTCTAGGTCATCGATAGTCTAGGTCATTAGGTCATTTTATCAATTCAAATATGGATTTTATTTTGCAAGGAATTTTGTTCATTTGATAATTTGGTTATTGTCATTTGAGGGTTTGTACGTAATTTGAGAATATGGATTTTAATATGTTCTAAGACAGTGTCTTTCTTGTCATAGCATAACTTAATTGCCATTAATCTGAACAAGTTGTTTATGATATTGATGGTGTCTTAGTTTTGCGGATTTTCAACCAAATAACAAACGCAAATTGAATTTGTTGAATAAGCGGAGACGGATGGTATTAGAATTTATTAAATCAATGAATAATTTTATTTATTCAAGCTTCAAAACATAGCAACAACATGGACATCATGTCATTACATAAAACTACCCTACAAAATGCAAGTATGAATAAATTCAAAGGAGGTTGCCTAGCTAAAGAATACATGATTTACTCATGCCAAAATAACCAATATCTTTCAGTTTTTTGCATAATGTTATTCTGAAAATACAGGTAGGTTTATTGATAGACACAAGTTATCAGTTGATATTTAATCTAACACCTAAATTTATTTTTTTATTTCAGTTTGACATACCATTGTATTATCAGTGACAGTCTAATATCAGATTATGGAAGTTAAAGATGATCATCGGACAGCATTTAAACCTCCACTAGATGAAACTTTTTTAAAGTGGGATTTAATATATCCAAGGAATCCAAGATTTCAGTATCTTTATCCGTCCCCTACAGTCTCAATATTAACAAACATTGCAAATGCTTTAGCAGCTTACCCAAAATTTTATGTCCAAACTTTGCATCTTATGAACAAAATGAATTTGCCTGCTCCTTTTGGACAAACAACACCAACACCTCCAGTTGCTGAAGAAGCAAAAGAAAGCAGCAGTGAATCAGAAATAGAAAGTGATAGTGAAGAACAAAAGAAAGAAAATAGACTGAAGAAAACCAAAAGATCCAGGGCCACAAGGCAGGAAACAATGCCACTGAAGAGAATGAAGTTGATTGAAGATTTCCCAACTTTACCCTCTATTCCTGTGGAAACAAGTGAAGTATTTGATCTCAATTCTCAAGCTACAGCTCAAAAACAGATACAGCTTAAAATACCTATAGCTATTGAGCTTAAAGATCCATCAGACAATATAGAATCCATCCCAACTAATACTGAAGCAACCCTGCCTGTTCAAGGTGGTTTTGGAGTCATAGAGCCACCACCAAAACCAGTAGAAACTGAAAACACAGAGGAAGAAGCAGATTGTAGTGAATTCATCTCTGAAAAAGAATTAAAACATGGATGCATACCAGAACATAAACGAAAAGATATCAATGTGTTTAAAAAATATAACAAAGGTGATCCTAGCAGTCGACTTTACATTAAAAATTTAGCAAAGCAGGCGACAGAAAAAGATTTAAAATATATTTATGGAAGATACATTGACTGGCCCAATGGCACTGAAGCTAATGCTTTTGATATTCGAGTTATGAAGGAAGGTAGAATGAAAGGACAAGCTTTTGTGACATTACCATCAGAGACTGCAGCTATCAAAGCTTTGAATGATACTCATGCCTTTGTGTTACATGATAAACCTATGGTGGTACAATTTGCTAGATCAGCTAAAGCTACAGCTGATCCCAATACTGAAGATAAATGATATTTTGTGCTAAAAAATTGTTGTTTAATTGCGACTTGGTTTTGTCCTCAACAAGTTTAATCATTTATAAGCAATTCTTCAGTCCAAAGAAGATATACAATGAAGAGATAATAGAACATAAACATTCATAACAAATAAATTCAAATAATTCATGCAAATAATATTTTCACAACTTTCTTCTACAAAATATAATATAAAGCATTATATATATTTATCAATGTCCAGCAGGACGCAATAACCACATGTGACATTTAAGTGACAAATTGGACCTGCTTATATCGTTTTTGACCATCTATCAGAACTCGTTTATGTGGTTTAATGCCTTAGTCAGAAGCATTTGAGTTGAAATGGTACAAGGGAGGTAACTCCATTTACTACTTCGACAATCAAACTGTCTGAAGCCTAAGATATTTTCAGTTGCAATTTTAAGTGGTTAAGCTATTAAAAATAGTGTCGCAGTTACGTTTATTTGATGACGATTATTGTAGCTCCGGTCAATATGATAATATTTATTAGACTAAGAAATTAGGTCAAAAGTCTTCCTTGCATTTCGCCCAACTTATGTACATAAAAACAAAATTAATCAACAACAAATACTATACAAGTAATATAATCAGGACCGTTTGCCCCCATAAAAATTTCTTTTAACTGCAACTATAAACACTGTACATCATTGCACCCCTGAATTTATTCAGCCATGATGTATTATTTGTTATCAGTTTTGTTTCGTTTTAAAACATGGTATTATTACGATTTTCTAAATGGTTTTATTCCTGGTTCTGGATAAAACTTCTCAACTCGGGTACACTCATTTAACCATAGACCGAAACATCTGCTTCCAGTCCCTAATAGCTATTTTGAAAGCAGACGTTAACTAGCAAAATATCTATCATAGGCTAGAATAGAGGCAGATGTTTCGGTCTAATATAACCAATGAATGATATATAAGAACTCATTGCGAATAACATAAACAATACCGCAACATAATAATTATGATTACTGTTGATTTAAGTTATTTAACGCGATTGACGACAGTTTCAATTAGAAGTGAGTTCAACATCAACACTGATTAGTGATTAGTCTAATCAGTCGACACATTCAAGACTGTGTGTCACAGTTCGTTCGAAATTGTTTGTTTCTGTATTGTATTGGTTTATCTATATGGACAAACAAAAATCTGAAAAATTTTGTGTATTTTTCTTGTTTTCTGGAAGTCGAACTTTATACGAGCAGTTACACACGCATGTCTTTACAAAATTCTACTATGGAGGTAAAACGTTGCCAAAATTATTCAGTTTGTCGAAGCTTCAAAATACCAATGTCGTTATAACAAAGTGCATCATGTCAATGCTGCAAATTATCAATGTCGATGTGTAAAAATGCAAAATGTATATGTAAACTCTGCATCACTGTGCATTACGCACTTTGTATAATTAAGCCTTGCATTAGAGACTTTTCATTAGCGTAGATGTGCCTTATTTATAGAATGATGACGTATTCATTTGAATACGGAGAAGACAGAGGAAACGGATGGAATTTTGTTAATATACGCGAGCAATAAATTCGTCTTACCCTTAGTGGTCGACCAATTTGTGTGGCCAATGGATTCGCTATTTTTTTTTTAGAATGATTGAATCATTTTGGCATGGTTATGCCAATAGTAGAGTTATGATATATCTACTTTGCAAAAAATAAGACTAGATGAGCAATTATATTTCTGGCTGGTGCGCGAGTCCATATTTGTCCAAATTTCCTGGAAATCACGACTGATCTAAATATGAACTCCATGGCCTGGCATATAAATAATCATGGCCGAATCAATCTAATTAATATTAGATTACAATTTAGCTTCTTGTTTTTCTTATAAAAGATATAATATTGTTACCTAATTTATATAAGATTATAGCAAGATTGTAATCTTAAAGTCAAAATATCGACATTTTTTAAGAAAATTGACGTTCTGAAAATGTAGAAACTGAAATTCATGACATTGTCACATATGCGTGAGTGAAATAAACAGACACAAAAAGAGATATAAAACCAATCAATTAACACCATTTGGTATAAAACTATAATCCTCTTATATATGTTTTTTAATTTTTTTAGAAATATCATTTACAAGGAACAAAGGCCTAAACTACCAATTCTCCTTTATGTGTAAACTTTTCAAGCAGAATTGATCGATTGGGATTTAAATACGCTTAAAGAGTTCAAAGACCACCAAGAGCTTTAATATTTCCCAGATTTCCAAGTCATTAGATATAGATGGTCCTATTAGCTTTCCAGAAGTGAAAGCTGACTTCCAGTTCCCCTACAATTTAAAACTATAGACCAAAATCTAGTGGGATGAATCTCTAACCTTACCTGAATATATAAATAAACATACAATTGTCGAAAAATTTGTTTCCTATATTAGACTATTCTGAAGGATTCTGGTAAAAATATAAAATCATTTTAAAGGGCAAATGTGCCATTTTGGGGGATTGATATTAGTCTTGATTATAAATACACTTCAGAAGTACTAGAAATGTTCTATATATGTATTTTCTATATATGACACAGTATCTTAAATCGACAAGTCGCCATTTTAACATTCAAACGAGTATAATTCTGGACACATGTGGGTTTAAAGGCTTAAATTTCGACGGTGAGCTGCGAACACTATTACAGATTGGCTTAGCTTAAAAAAAAATCCCGTTTCTGAGACTTAAGTATGAGTGGTCAAAAAAAATGACGCACTTGTCCCTTTAAAGACCAAAATACCGAATTAACAAATAGTACATCCAGATTTTGATCACCCCCTTCGAATCAAAGGACGATCAAGTGGATAGAAGTAAATAGCAGGTTTTGTAAATTCTTTCATGATTTAAAACGTTTATGTTATGATATATTGAAAATTTTAAATACTATCCCTTTAAACAAAAACATAACAAAGAAAATATAGACTGTCTTTACTGTCTGTCCAGATCTTTCCAGGATTTCCTTCCGTACATCTGGGTTGACTGAGAAAATGAGCGAAGATGACTTATTCGAGGTTTTAAATCCCAACCGCCCTATCCCAACCGCCCTAACAATACTCCAAAATTTGTATTATTACCAATTATTCTATCGAATTGAAAATGAAATATGTCATCCTTAGATTAGATTATTTCAGTCCAAATTTGTTTTACCGGTTGGGATTTAAAACCCACACCTTATTCGAGGTAACCAGACTGTCAGTATCACAAGCTGATGACAAATTCTGTGCTAAATCTAACTGGCATATGTCTATCCTCGGAGATAGCGTGTTAAAAGAATTTTACTTCAGTTCATTTGTAATAAGAGTTGACAGCATTATGGTCCAAATTAATTTTTATGATGACTTTTTCTTCATTAGAAATAAGCAATGTCTTTACTATGGCATTAAATATATAGTTAAATCAATAATTGTCTTTATGTCGTGCATGAGGAAATGCGGAAGTTCATTTCTATATTTTAACCCGTCTAATGGGTAGTTATTAAAAATTTTCTCTACATCAATTGTCAAGTAAAAAGCCAGTCAAATTGCATAGTTGTTATTTTTTATGCCTGTATTCCCGGAACCATTTTCAAAATGAAATATACGTAGAAGTTAAAGTTACATTTTAAAAGATTTTTCGCCTCTAAAAATATTTTAGCGATACCCCACTTTTTTCTATGAAAAAATTCATGATTGAAAAAACATTAAGTTTAACGTCCTACTTTCTTTTCCTATTTATGCTTATAAAAGAACCCAAAATCATCCAACACCGCTACAAAAATAATTTAGTACAATACCTACAACAACATCATACAATGCCATACCTACATCATCATACACCCCTACAACATCATAAAACACCCATATAACAATCATGCAGCATAGTACCTACAACATCAAACAACATCCCAACGTGAACATAATAAAACACCCATATAACACTCCTACGACAAAATCATACAATACCATACCTACATCATCATACATCCATACA